ATATGACAAGAATTTTTCTTCTTTTTTTTCATGGCTGTGATTGACCATCCAAAGGCCAACCAGATAGTGTAGACTGTGCCTTTAGTTAAGACAGTTCATAGTGACATCAGTGACCATGGAGGAGATTGTAAATAATTTGAAGTGAAGAACAAATTGGAGCAAGCAATCAGGCACCACTGCCGGCAGTAACCAAGTCGTATTATTGGTGCCACAAAGAATTTCTTTCTTTTGTGTGTGTGCTTCCTCAAGGACTGAAACTGTGCCTACAATCCACCATTCACAGGGAAATACAGTGTACACAGTGATAGCACAAAGAGATATATTCGTTGATGAGAACTGGAAAGGAAATTACTACTTCACAGGGAAATACAGTGTACACAGTGATAGCACAAAGAGATATATTCGTTGATGAGAACTGGAAAGGAAATTACTGTATAAGGAAATAATAGTTCAAAAACAAGAAACAAGTCGGGCTATCTAGAACGGCATTCAATTGCTGTCCTAAGAAAGTTTTTTTTTTATTCTGTGTTTCTAAAGGACTGAGTGGCCATATGATCTGTCATTCATAGCAAGATACAGTGTACATAGGGATAGCACATAGATACCAACAACTAGTTGAAGAGAACCGGAAAAAAAGGGGAAAAAGAAGATAACTCAAACTGTCTTGGACGGACGAATGAGGGGAGGTTAAAACCATCAGAGGGAAGTTAAGTACTACTTTTTTTCTTTATTTTTAAATAGGTGTAGATCTGTACACAGTCTGCACCCCCCCCCTCCCCTCAACAGCAACAACCATGAAGGGTATGAAACCTGGGGCTAAAGCGGCACCAGGAAATCTGTTGACCTGTGATTACTGCAGCGTGACGACGGATACAGATGGTACAGACCTGACCAGTACAGAGCTTAGGATGATACAATTTGCCATAAAGCATGAAGGCTGTTGCTGGTATTGCCCTGACTGCATAGTCAAGGTGAAAGAGGCTATTGCAAGCCATAGTTTCCTAGGGACGAAAATAGATGAAGCTGGATCCATGCTGGTTGCCAAACTAGAACAAGTTGGGGAAGAGATTCTTGCTAAGACAGAGGAAGTAGCCGATAGAATGAAGGGGGTAGCGAAGAAGAGTTATGCTCAGGCCTTAGCAGGGCCACGGGAGGTGGCGGAGAGTAATGCAGGATCACAACAGGTTCTACAACAGCTAGGGGCTCTGAAGAAGTGTGTTGAAGAGATGGCAACTAACGGAACTACTGTTAGGGGAGAGGAGGAACAACGGGAACGTTTCCAGCGCAGGAACAACGTACAGGGTAATAATTTTTTGAGTCCCTGAGAGCCTGGCGGAGGGAACTGAGAGTAGGATAACACACGATAAGATGCAGTTTAAGAATATTTGTACAGAGGTTCTGAACATCCCCCCCCCCCCTCAGGATGTGAGGAGGCTTGGACAAAAGCAGGGGGATAAGCCTCACCCCCTCAGGATCAAACTAGTGAGTGAGAAGAAATGGGAGGTTATTCGGCAGGCAAAAAACTTAGCAAGGAGCGAGGCATCTTGGAATGTATTCATTCACCCAGATCGCACGGTAATGCAGAGGGAACAGCACAAGAAGCTCCTGCAGGACTTGAAGCAGAGGAGGGAGGAGTCGAGGAAAAACGGGGACGGGTGAACATGGGTTACATTCAGGGGGAGGGTAGTGGAAGCAAGTGTGCCGACACAGAGCAGGGGCAGCGGTACACCCCCACCCAACACCAGCTTCGCCTACCAGACAGGAGTAGGCGAGCGCCGTGTAAACAATGACATTTCAAACCACACCCTGCAAAATACAATGTACTTAGCAAATGCTGCAGCTTCTGAGAATGGAGGGGGGCCGGAGTTACTACTAAGAGCAGAGACGTTACCGAAAAGAACAAATTCTGGCTTGAATGTCATGTACACTAATACTGACACGTTCCTTGACAAGAGAGAGGAGTTTGAAACACTACTAAAGGTACACCAACCAGAAATTGTAGGAGTTGTAGAACTGTTGTACAAGAACAGGAGAATCGACCCAGAGGATGTGAGTTCAGTATTGCTTGATATGACTCATTTATGAACCTATCTTAAGAAACTTGCAAGAGGGGTGTGGTTATCTATGCTAGGCAAGACCTTAGAGCCAGCCAGGCGAGGGTACAGGGAGAGGATGTTTTTGAAGAGTCCAAGTGGTGTAAAATTAAATTAAAGGGAGGGACTTACTTATTGTCAGTTGTATCTACAGATCCCCAAACTGTGGCCCACTAAATCAAAGGAATTTAAGAACTTAATAAACAACGCAAGTGATGCTCAACCCTAGCCACCTCCTTAGCAAGGGGGACTTTAACTATGGCGACATCGACTGGAGAAACGAGTTCACCCCAAATGACTTGAAAAACCTTGCTACTTTTTTTGTAGAAACTCTGAGAGATAATTTTCTGTTCCAACATGTTAGAGACCTGATACATTACAGAGGGGAGCAAACACCCAAGCCACTAGACCTCATCATAACAAATGAGGAAGGTATGGTGACCAAACTGGAACATCTAGCCCCAGTTGGCACCAGCCACCTTGTAGTGTTGTCATTGAGATTCAACTGTTACCTAGTTCAAGATAAGGCCAGGCCAAGGTGCAAATATTACAAGGGAAATTACAACAGGATGAGGGAAGAGATGAGGGGTATCCACTGGCCTGACTCATTAAGGCACAAGAACGCAGACACTAAGTTGAATATCATAACTAGTAAAGTGACCTATTTGATTGATAAATATATACCCAAGACCAAACCCAGTGCCTCTAGGAATACGAGGGGATCCCTACACATGAACCACGCGGCGGTCGACAAAGTTAAGAAGAAAACCCAGAAATTCAAGACGTGGGTTGGGTCAAACGATGAGCAAGACAGGAGGATGTATGCAAGAGCCAGAAACTAAGCAAAGGTAGAGTGTAGAAGGGCTGAAAAGGAGTTCCAGAGGCTGGTTGCACGCGAGGTCAAGTCAAACCCAAAGGCGTTTTACCGCTATGCAAAGTCAAAATTAAAAATGCGAGTAGGAGTAACAGACCTGAGGCTTGAACATGGTAGTTACGTAGATTCTGACCAGGATAAAGCTGAGGCATTGAACAGTTTCTTTTCCTCGGTGTTCACAAGAGAGGATGCGATTAACCTTCCTGCGTTTGAGGACAGACGGTTCGACACAGCACTGACCCACATTGCGTTCACAGAAGAGGGTATTAGGAATAAACTGTCAAAGCTAAAGGTCCATAAGAGTCCCGGCCCTGACCTGGTGCATGCCAGTGTTAAGACAGTTGTGCGACGAGCTTGCCAAGCCCCTGAAGACCCTGTTCTGTAAATGCCTGGATGAACAAAAGGTCCCCGGTGATTGGAAAATGGCTTCTGTGAGTCCTATCTTCAAGAGGGCAATCGTCAATCCACGAACAACTTTAGACTGGTGAGCCTGACCAGCATAGTATGGAAAGTACTTGAGAGCTCAAGGTATTGGATATTTGGACCCATATTCTGGAATGGGGTGGTAATATTGACAATATATACCGGGTACCGAGATTTTGCCAAGGCTTTCGACAGTGTACCCCACGAAAGGCTGAAAATCAAACTGGAAGGGTATGGAATTCGGGGAAAAGTCCTAGCGTGGATAGAAGAATTTCTACATGACCGCAAGCAGTGTGTGGTGATTAATGGCACGAAATCATCATCTGTACCTGTCACAAGTGGGGTACCACAGGGCAGTGTATTGGGCCAGCTGTTGTTTGCTTGTTTCATAAATGACATGCCTGACGCTGTACACTCCTCCATACATATGTTTGTGGGTGACGCCAAGTTATTTCGGGAAATCAAGAACCAAGTGGACTGTGAAGAGCTGCAGAAGGATCTCTGTGAGCTCCAAGAATGATCAAAGAAATGGCTGCTGAGATTCAATGTCCTCCAATTTAATGTACTCTTTGCTGAATCACCCTCCCACACAAATCCCACTATTTGTACCACCTAGAATACGACCAACGCCCATGGCTTAGGCAAAGCTCACCGTGAGGATTCCTCATGAGGAAAACCCATGTAAAACGATCGTGAATACGGCCACAGGAGTCGTAGTGTTCATTTTGAAATGCATCGGACCCCTCCATAAAGATATTTCTTGGAGCGTGTGTACAAACCTTGTTTGACTCCAGGTAACAGATAGTCTCACCCACTACCCTTCCTCTCCCATCTGAGATACAGGCAGTCCCCGGGTAACGTGCGAGTTCCGTTCCTACAGACATTCTAAAGTCGAAAATGTACCAAGTCGTACCACATACCCTTGTGCATACCATACATACAGAACAATGTTTAAAATCCCGCTATATCAGCCTAAGTCCTCATATACATCTAAAATCACTTCCTATAAGAAAAAGGAAGAAACAGAATGACAAAATACGGTATGTAAAGTAAATGAAGGTAAAAAATAAGCCATCAGGTAAAGGTAGTAGGCAGCTATCAAACAGGGTAGTACGATTGCCTGGGAAGATATTGGAAACATAAAATGTTGTCTACTGTACCTGGGTGGGCTAATCCCCATCAAAAAACTAAATTTAAAGTTTAACTTTATGGGACTTCGTTCGTATGAGCGGATGTTTGTAAATTGGACATACATAACCCGGGGACCTTCTCTATACTGATGCATTGTCTAATGGTAGACTCTGCTGCCATATGGCATCACAAAAATTGTGACCAAGTCCCAGGTTGGTAATTTGCCTCATTTACACACAATTGCAGGGTCTTAATTGTTTCTCTTACTTTGACAACACAACATATTGTATACGTACTGTACTGTATATCGTTTATCACCGTCTTATTTTTATCCATTTGTGTATTTATTTATGGTTCAATTTTTTTTTTCACCCCCCAGGCCCCAATGTGGGTCAGTGACCTGTGCCCGGGTGGGTTAATCCCCGCAAAAAAAAAAAATAATAAATAAATAAAATACAAGAATGGCACTTTAGACTCACCTCAAGTCACCTTCTCTGGAGCTGGGGTAGAAGATCTCTGGCTTTATCACTCCTAAGACTTTTCTCATGCAGGTTTATTTGGTATTTCTGTAAAGATAATAGTACATTAGTGGATAAGATTTTGAAGACATCTTTCAAAATACTGTAAAATTAAGACTAATATACAGTACACGTAACCCCGAGATACGATGGGGTTACATTCCTGAACACCCATCGCTGAGTGAAATATTGTAGACTGAGCATTATAACATGGGGTTCAATGGGATATGTTCCTAGCCAGTCCCCAAACACACGTGTCACTGACAAAAAAATTCCTAAACGTATAAAATCAAAAGAAAATAGTTACAGAACACTTACCACATCATTAAGAACAAGTCTGGTCATCATGAAGGCCTTATAAGGGGGCTCTTGTGGGTGGAGTGGAGACATGACCCACACAGCCTCTGGGGAGTCTCATGCTGCTTAACAATGTCAAGCTTCACCTCAGAGACACAGTTGTCTTGGCCTTCCCAGACATTTTCACAGTTACACTGCTCACTTCACAGTCACAAAAACAGAGCTAAAGTACTTGTCACAAAAAACAGAGCCAACGATGATAACAAAAGCAATGACAGCGGCCGACACTGCTCATATTTTCAAAACAACCGGGTCGACGCATCTTTCTTGAAGTGACATGGTGCAAATTTTCGTTTTTTGAGGACATGAGAGCACGTCCAGGCCGGGCAGGTGGGTTGTTGCATAGAAATAAACAAAGAGTTGAAGACAACACGTGCCCACATGGCAGATTTATTGGAGCAACATCTACAGCAAATTTCTTCACATTCTATGTATTGTCATATCATTTTTATTATGTATTATTATCCACAACATTTGTGAAAAAATTAACAAAATCAAACAATGGATTCTGGTGCAGTCTCCTCAGGTCAGGTCAGGTCAGGTCAGGTTAGAACATAAGGAGTCTGCAATAGGCCGGTTGGCCTGTGCATGGCAGCTCCTGTCGAGAGTTACTACCACTCTCTATCATCCATGAATCTGTCCAGCCTCCTTTTGAAACTTTCCAGAGTTCCCGCACTTACTACAAAGTTGCTAAGCTTGTTCCACTCATCCACCACCCTATTTGTGAACCAGTTTCTTCCTATCCCCCTATCAGGTTTTGTGCACTGTAGTATGGGGTTTATTTTCTTTACTTACTATCATCCAAAGAACATGTGGATAAAATTAACGGTAACTATTCGTTTTAGCACACCCTCGAATTTTTCCCCGATATGTTTTTATTTCCGATGTATTTTGCTCTTATCATTTATTCATGTGATCTTAACAGGAAACACTGTACAATATACTGCTGTAATAAATGTCTTCTAATACATCCACATAGGTATCATTAACTGTAACCCAGAGATGGTTCAATAACACCTATTATTACTGATATATAACACAGTAGACTGTATTAGGGTCAATCTGTCAAGTCACTGTGACAGGCATATTTTTTTGCCTGTCGATATTTGTCCGGCTGTTGGTTAGGTAGACTTTTTTTTTTAAGACGGACACCAGAAGCAGTTGACAGAATTGGACGACCCTTTGTGAAAACGTTATTTATAATCTATTAAACAGGTAAATAGAAACGAGAATGACCAGAACCTATTAGAACTTGACCTAACCTAAAGTAACCTTACCTAACCCTAATTTACCATAAAACTTTTTAAAACATTCCTAAAGACACTAAATATATTATCTTTTCCATTTATTTATTTACTAGTGTAATTAACGTTTCCAGATTCGTCCAATTCTATCAATTCCTGGTGTCGAAAAAAAAATAACCAACCTAACAAATATAAGATTATCATATTGGTTTTACCTTATTTTTGAGTCCTACATTTCTTGGAACACCTTGAAACATTTACATAAACTGCCCTTAGGGAAACATTAACATTTTATTCAATATTTTAGTAAACATATGAAACACACATGGGCGGCCTTACCTGTGACAGCTGCTCCATAAGCCCCCAAACTATCGTACTTTTGACTTGGATTGTTGTACTTTTTGTTTAGTCGTAACAATGTGAACCTGGTATTATTTTAGCATTATAAATATTTTACAAAGAGAACATATTTCAAAGCAACATGTAAGAGTAATTGTAATAGTACCAGAAGTCTAGTTACAAGAACTGGTGTATTAAGAGTATATGCGACCACTATGTTAATATACAATCTTCGAATTTTGAGAGAAAGTAGTTGAGGGGGAATACTCTGACAACCATGGAGATTACGAACTCACGAGAGAAACCACAGAATTAACTGGGAGAAATCACATAAGAGGAGGCAAACATAGTCGAATCAATGCAAGACTTCATGAAAATCCTTGAGTTAACAGCAAAGGAATCTACACCCCTATTACTTTTATCTTCTTCACCACTGATCGGCTCGCTAGCCGCCCGGGCGATCGGTCACGTCTCTGTCACGCACTGTTGGCAAGTACTGGGCATGCACCGGCTCCTGAATGTACCTGAACCCGCTCCAGTGTTGGTCAAGTCTTGTCTTGAAAGAGCTCACACTCGGTGCCGTCACAATACTCTCTGGTAGATTGTTCCAAGAATTTACAACCCTCACTCCGAAAAAGTTTGCCCTCACAGTTTTCTGGACTAGCGGCTTCTTCAATCTTGAGCTGTGACCCCTTGTGGGGCGAGCGTCCGCCAGCTCCAAGTAAGGACACTCAACTGAGTAGTGCCCCCCCGAGATGCTTATACACCTCAACTAGGTCCCCCCTTGCCCGTCTGTAGTATAAGCTAGGCAAGTTCAGGCGCTCCAATCTCTCAGGGTAGCTGAGGTGCCGAATTGCAGGCACCAGTGACCAGTCTGGTGGCCCTCCTCTTCAACCAACTGACAGTCCCTAGCATATCTTGGGGACCAGATGGGGTGACAGCACTCCAGATGGGGAAGCACTTCACTCTTGAAGATCGTTACGAGGGACGGACCGTCTAGATATCTGAACGACCTTCTTATAAGACCCAATAATTTATTTGCCTGATTTACCTTTTTCTCGCAATGGCCAAAGAACTTCAGCTCATTGTCAACATACACACCTACCTGTAGGTCCTTCTCTCATAGACCTTTAGCATGGACAGTTTATTTCTAATACCCTCTTCTGTGAACACAATGTGGGTCAGTGCTGTGTCGAACCGTCTGTCCTCAAACGCAGGAAGGTTAGTTGCATCCTCTCTTGTGAACACTGAGGAAAAGAAGCTGTTCAATGTCTCAGCTTTATCCTGGTCAGAATCTGCGTAACTACCATCTTCAAGCCTCAGGTCTGATACTCGTAGTCGCGTTTTTAATTCCCTCAACAAATGAGGGTCGTCGTGTTTCAACCCGTAAGAGTGTACAACTGTCACCTGACCTTGAGTGGTACAATAGTAACACCGAAACATTAACATAAAAAAATAGAGCTTTTGTCTTAATTTGCACTTTAACTGCGGGTTTGTCCGGCACCTATGGTGCACATAGGCCGTGGGAGTATAGTTTTCTATGTATTGTAAGTAGACAGTTATAATGATAAACCGTAAAGCAATTTGACGAATCGACAAAGTTGTCTAGGAGGTCTTTTGCTTGGGTTGGTCTCTAATCAGTAACAGTATGTCTACAGGAATAAAAGTGATTGTTTTTTATATTTTATAAATTGTGGTTGGTATTGCAGGGTAACGCGCTCATCTATCGCCAACAGGTCAAGGGTTCTTTCTACTCCTGCTTGGACACGGATGGAAGGAGTATTACCCAAAGTTACTTACTTTTATCTTCTTCGCCACTGATCAGTCCGTGAACCACTGGATACACCAGCCGATAGAACGGCTAGTAAGCTGATGAATAGTGAAATTATAATAGCAGTAATTAATAGTACTGTATATTCAACAAACATTGCTTTTGAACTGTGTGAGGCTGGCTTTCGGAGATCAGACGTCTATTTGTTAGCTTAATAAATTTACCTTGTCTCCTTAAGTTGTGAGAGTCAGCCATCCTTTGGGCGTAATTTGAATAAATCCGTATCTTTTAATTTTGATTTTAATAAATGTTCGATGCTATTATTGATGATATAAGTTTCTCATCCTATTTTCTAATTAGTCATAGCCAGGGGGCAGCAGAAAATTCGATCTACAGTGTCTATTGTACAGTGTGTCCACAGTGTACAGTATAGGCAGGTACTACATCTCGATACGACACAAATGATAGTTATCGTACTTTGACAGCACGCTAAGCAAGATGTGTTATTAAAAAGTACGAGCCTATTAAAATAAATTAATCGCACTTAAACTAAATGTAACTCAAATTAAGAGAAAAAAATGTTTTAGAAATAAATTAATAAAAATTTAAGGCAATTTGTTACGTTTGAATACATACATATGCTTCTTCTCTTTTTATGTTGATTTTTCTTCCTAAAAATAATTTAACTCCAGGATTCCATTTTTAAGATTATTTAATGTTCTACAAAGCATAAACTACAGATTTTCTTTAATTAATGATCTCGTGAACAATTTATATACACAGCGTCTGCTAGCAGCTCACTGGATGCAGAATTAATATTGCACCCATATATTACAATATTAATATAGTTCATCATATATAACACCGTAAATACTCATAAACTATGAATAAAGATATATTAATTAATGAAATAAGGTTATTGGGAAGATATTTCAAATAGCCTCACATCTCTCCAGCCGCCCCCCCTCCCGTGGCCATGTTGAGGAGGTGCGGTGGTGTGAGCGGCGCCGCACCTCGGCCACTCTCGTCTCACCTGCAACTGGAGGAGGATGTGTGCAGACAACTGGTGAGCAATTATTATTTCTAGGATGCTCTTGCGCATCATTTGCTCTTACTACAGTGTTATATAGTAGGTTCAGGCATGCGTACAAATTGTTATATTTTATTATTGTGTCTTAGATGTGTCTTCAGAAACATTTAACTGTTATATCGAGTAAATTCCACAGGGACGGCATGGCTAGTGGCGCCGAGTGCAAGACTTGGTTCACGGAATCTTTCTAATGATAAATTGTTCTAAGTTTGTTTATATTCATGAACGTGATGGTCATTAGTTGTTTATAAGGATGATGTTACTCGCTTGAGGTAATATAAGTATATATTGGTCCGTTTCGGGAGTGGCCGCCACGTGGTCCCATAACGTCAGCGTGGCCGCCAACTACTGGTCTTCGCTAAAGCTGTTTGTGCGTTTTGTAATTTAATTTATCATGACCAGCACACATTTTTGGCTTTTTCAAGAACCACTAAAAAATCGTGGTTCAATGTAGTCGCTTAAGTACTTTTCAGTGAGGCTCCGTTGTAGGGTCCGACTAATTACCCAAATGTAGCCGCAATGAAGTCAATTAATGGTCCTACATGAATAAATCGGGTTACCAATCACTTCTCGACTGGTATTTGGTGTCAGTCACAAAAAAATGGTACACTTAATTTAATCTGAGTTAATAGATCAAGTGCATGTACCTAACCTAACACAACACAACTCGGATTAAATCAAGTTTACCAAATTTTTGTGACTTTGACACCAAATAATAATCGAGAAGTGATTCACAGCCCGATTTACGCCTGTAGGACCATCATTTGACTTCATTGCGGCTACATTTGGGTAATTCCTCGCTCCCTCGGTTCATGCACGCGATCTATTAACTCAGATTAAATTAAGTTTACCAATTTTTTGTAAGAACATAAGAAAGTGGGATACTGCAGGAGGCCGACTGGCCCATACAGGGCAGATCCCTTTCACACCCATCCCAGCACTTCCATGTGCCTATCCAACTTCGTCTTGAAGCTCCCTAGCGTCCCCGATCCTACTATAGCACTCGGTAGCCTATTCCACATATCCACAACTCTATTACCAAACCAGTGCTTGCCTATATCCTTTCTGAATCGGAATTTATCTAATTTAAAGCCATTTGTTCTAGTTATTTCGTTATTACTGAGCTTCAGAACATCTTCCATTTTACCCTTGTTAATCCCACTTACCCACTTGTACACCTCTATCATATCTCCCCTAACTCTACGCCTCTCTAATGAATGCAAGCCTAAGCTTTTCAGTCTTTCTTCATATGGAAGGTTTCTAATATTATGGATCATTTTTGTCATTCTTCTTTGTACTCTCTCCAAAGAATCTATGTCCATTCTATAATAAGGACACCAGAATTGAACCGCATAATCCATGTGTGGCCTCACTAATGCTAGGTAAAGTTTCAAGATAACGTCAGCAGTTCTGTTACTCACACTCCTAGATATGAACCCAAGAATCCTGTTTGCCTTGTTGCGAACGCTAATACATTGTTTTCTAGGTTTCAAGTCGTTGCTAACAAATACACCTAGATCTTTTTCACAAACTGAGTTTTCTATTTCCGTGTTACCTAGTTTATACTTAACGTTTGTATTCGTCTTCCCTATCTGTAGTACCTTGCATTTATCAGTATTAAAATTCATTTGCCAGTCTACTGACCACTCATGTAAGGTATCTAGATCTCTTTGAAGGTGTTCAAAGTCACTGTCTGAATTTATCACTCTCCCCATTTTGGTATCATCTGCAAATTTACTAATCCTACTAGTTATGCCTAAATCAAGATCATTAATGAATATAACAAACAGCAGAGGGCCTAATACAGATCCCTGGGGAACTCCGCTTTTGACCGCACCCCAGTCTGACTTTAATCCATTTATGCTGACTCTTTGTTTCCTACCAGTTAACCATGACCTAATCCATTTTAATACTGATCCACCTATTCCATGTGCTTCTACCTTCCTTATCAATCTCTTGAGAACATAAGAATGGAGGAAACTGCAGTGGGCCTATTGGCCCATACTGGGCAGTCCCGTTTAGACCCAACCCCTATTGCTCATATGAGCATCCAACCTATGTTTGAAGCAATTCAGCGTATTCGAGTTAATGATGATATTTGGTAACTTGTTCCATTCATTCACTACTCTGTTTCCAAACCAGTGTTTACCTATTTCACGCCTAAATCTAAATTTGTCTATTTTAAAACCATTGTTACGAGTTCGCTCCTGGTTGGATAGTTTGAGTACCTTAGTAATGTCCCCTTTGTTTAGCCCTGCCTTCCACTTATACACCTCTATCAGGTCGCCCCTCGCTCTACGTCTCCCGAGGGAGTGCAAATTAAGATGCTTTAACCTGTCTCTGTACTCAAGGTTCCTAATGCCCGGGATTAGTCTTGTCATTCTCCTCTGAATTCTTTCCAAGGATTCTATATCCATTCTGTAATACGGTGACCAGAACTGAACTGCGTAATCCAGGTGTGGTCTCACAAGAGCAAGATACAGTTTTAGGATGACCTCGCTAGTCTTGTAACTAACACTCCTTTGTATGAACCCAAGTACTTTATTAGCCTTGTTACGAGCAAAAACACATTGTTTACTTGGCTTAAGGTTCCTACTTATCATTACTCCTAAATCTCTCTCGCAGTCAGATTTCTCTATGGCATCGTTGTTCATCTGGTATCTGGTTTCCCTGTTTACATCTCCTATACTGAGTACTTTACATTTGTCCACGTTGAATTTCATCTGCCATTTTTCAGACCATTCGAAAAATTTGTTTAGACCTTCCTGTAGTTTTGCCGAGTCCTCGTCAGATTTAATAACACGTCCTATTTTAGTGTCCTCAGCAAATTTACTTATGTTGCTGTCTATGCCGATATCTATGTCGTTTATGTATATAATAAATAATAATGGTCCAAGTACTGAGTCTTGGGGAACTCCACTTGTGACTTGCTCCCATGGGACTTAGTGCCGTTAATGCTCACTCGCTGTTTCCTGTCCTGTAACCACGCCCTAATCCATTTAAGGATTTTACCTTTGATGCCATGAGCTTCTACCTTTCTAATTAGTCTTTCGTGGGGGACTGTCGAAGGCTTTGCTAAAGTCGAGATATACCACATCATAATTGTGCCCCTCGTCCACCGATTCGAAAACTGATGAAAAGAATGTTAATAGATTAGTTAGACAAGAACGTTCGCTTGTGAAGCCATGCTGGGAATCGTTGATCAATCGGTGCTTCTCCAGGTGATTTCGAATAGAGTTTGAAATGATTGCTTCCAGTAATTTGCCTACTGTTGATGTTAGACTGATTGGGCGGTAGTTAGAGGATAGTGATCTATCCCCCTTCTTGAAAATCGGTATTACATTTGCTATCCTCCAGGATTCTGGTACTACACCTGTTTTTAAGGACGTGTTAAACAACTTTGCTAAGGGCATACTAAGCTCGTCCTTACATTCCTTAATACTCTGGCAAATATCTCATCCGGACCAGGTGACTTATTAGGCTTAAGTTTGTCTATTTGCTTACTAACATCGCTACTAGTCACTACTATCTCACTTAATTTGTTTTCTTCACTATCTCTGAATAGAGACGGTGCCTCGGGTATCATGTTTAAATTTTCGGTGGTGAAAACTGTTGAAAAATATTTATTCAAATTATTGCTCATTTCTCTGTCGTTATCAGTGAGCTCGCCGGCGTCGGACCGTATTGGTCCAATCTTTTCTCGTGTTTTAGTTTGATACATTTGGTAGAATCCTTTGGGGGTTTGTCCTCGCCTCCCTTGCTATCCTTACCTCATTATTCCTCTTTGCTTTCCTTATCTCGGTTTTAACCCTACTCGCCAATACCCTATAATAGTCCCGGAGGTGAATTTCGCCACGATTTATCCTTCTACCTATAGCCTTCCTTTGGCCGATGATGTTCTTAAAATAATTATTTATCCATTTAGCAAAGGTGGCTGTCATGGGCCGTCAGTAAAATTTTAGAAAAATGAAACTTGATCCAGTTGGCCTACAAACATTATTTAGGGATAAATTTCACACATTAAGGGATGAGAAGTTCACTGGTGCCATCATGCCCAGAAATCCAAAACGGCTGCTGGAAAGTCTAAAACTGGCGATTTTTTTGCTAAATCCTCATTATTTTTCACTCAAAATTATTTTATCTCGTCTTAGGATTAATACACCTTACTGCATCATTTGCTTAACATCAAAGAAGATCAATCTCGTTAGCCAAGAAAAGCTGCAAGAATCCTTCAACTAAGTGGAAAAAAGTCTGAAAGGGGCAGTGAATTGTGTGGAGGCTCTTGCCAAAGAAGCATTAGTTGCCCATGATGCTGCGTTCCAGCATATGTGAACATGACGCTGATCATCAAAGGATGTAACGTCTAACAAAATTGCAATGTTACTAGATATCTTCAGTATCTGCAAAATTACCTTTCAGTTTTGCAATCCAGATGACAAAATCTGTTAACTCGAAGCAAAGTTAAGCAACCATTTTGGTCGTTTTATTGCATTCTGGCAACCAAACTACCATAGTAAAGTGGTGTATTTGTCCGACATTGCGCAACGTAAGGCAGTGGAGACTCCAGGATCCTTGAAGAAGCAGCACTCATTTTGAGGAGAGGAGTGCTAGAACATGGACAATAATTTGAGCTGCCATGGCCACCATCTACTTGTGATTTTACCTTATCTTTGGAATATTATCCCAAATGTTTTCTTGTACTGCAACAATTTAGTTAATTACATTTTGTAGGTTACAAAAGACCGTACATGAAGTGGGGTTTTATTTTGGGCAAAAAAAAATTCAATAGTCTACTAGTTTTTAGAGATGAAATGAAATGATTGTTATATGATGAAATAACTAGAAGTTCACATTCGCGGTTTCCAACAGATGACATTAGTCAATGATGGCCTGTGATGTCTGACATGTGATGAATAAAAGTTACTGTGTGCTTTAAATGGGAGCTCTTTCTAAAATACCATACTTATTCTTTGCAGGATTGTGGCTGGACAAGGTATCGGATTGGAGTTCGGGTAAGGTTTAGTAGGGTTTGTTACACCATCCATAAGAGTTCATGCAGTTAAGATTACATTAAATTTTTTGGTTTTAGCAATAAATGGTATTGAACTTGTAAGCATACTTTTGTCTTTATGGTATTTTTAAAGTAGCCATTTTCTGCTTTAATTCCTAAATAATCATTATGGTTAGGGAATGCTATTTTTTCTTATGATGTACACCAACGCTTTAGGACACCTTAAGATTGTCCAAGAGGCAAGATGATAATGACTGTTGACTGATAAATCATTGTGTAGTTAGTTTTCTCTTTATCTTGATGCTTATACTAATTTTTTCTCATCTTCCAGGATGAAGGCAGGATGGAGAGCTCCATGCATTAAATAATGGCCCCTGTAGTAATAAGTAAGCATACATTAGTTTTTATGGTCCATTTTCGTTTTATTGCTAATTCGTCAGTTTTGAGTGAAGGCAATTTCATATAGTTGGTTTTCCTTCCTGTCTTGTATAGTATTGAAAAATACTCGTAGTCATTGAAGACAATATGCTAGTGTATTTTTTTCCCGGGTGATAAAAGATGCCCTCAAGAGTTACAGCTGATTGGCTGTTGCAAATCTGTTCAATTTTGTCCTGAAGTAATGATGTATTTCTAAACGAATTTATTATAATCGTGGGGATGACCGTTTTTGACAAGATATTTAGCCAAATTATATAAAGATATTGGCATTCATCATTTCAAACAGGAGCACGTAGGAAGTTATCAGTAATCTTGTATATGAATTAACTGTTAAACTCTGGTAACAAATTAATGCTTTCAGAAGAAGCATTTAATATACATGTACTTATTTTTACCTACAATAAGGCATGCTCAGACTAATTATGTATCGGTAATACTACATTATGCAAAAACATTTTAAAAAGATCAGCATCACGTTAAAACTTTTAAACGACTGTCTGCAGAGCGAAAAATATTTGGTTGATCGCAGTCATATTTCCCGCCTCTGCTGAGTCATGTAATATTTCAATGTGATTCTGATCTTTTAAAATGATTTTTTGCATATTGTAGTACAGTATTACTGATACATAATTTAGTCTTAATATACCTTATTGTGGGTAAAAATTAGTATATATTAAATGCTTCCTCTGAAAACATGAATTTGCTACCAGAGTGTAACAGTTAATTCATGAATAGTACTTCTGATAAACATCTTTAGTGCTCATGTTTGAAATAATGAATGTATGCATCTTTATATTATTTGGCTAAATATCTTTCTCGTCGGAAACGGTCATCCCAGCGATTATGAATAAACTCGTTTAGAAATACATCATAACTAAAGGACAAATCGGACAGGTTTGCAACATTCTATCAGCTGTAACTTTTGAGGAGGGGGCAGGGTGTCTTTTCTCAGAAGAGAAAAAGCGCACTATAGTGAATGCTATTTTTTCTCATGATGTACACCAATGCTTTAGGACACCTAAAGATTGTCCTCGAGGCAAGATGTTAACAACTGTTGACTGATAAATAATTGTGTAGTAATTTTTTTCTGCATTTAATGCTTATACTAATTTTTACTTCTCTTCCAGGATGGAGAACTCGGCATTAAATGAGGGCAGGGTGGAGAGCACTATACATTAAGAAGTAAGCAAACATCTTTATGGTATTTTTAGAATTGGCCAATTTTTGCTTTAATTCCTAAATAATCATTATGGTTAGGGAATGCTATTTTTTCTTGTGATGTACACCAACGCTTTAGGACACCTTAAGATTGTCCAAGAGGCAAGATGATAACGACTGTTGACTGATAAATCATTGTGTAGTTAGTTTTCTCTACCTTGATGCTTATACTAATTTTTTCTCATCTTCCAGGATGAAGGCAGGATGGAGAGCTCCATGCATTAAATAATGGCCCCTGTAGTAATAAGTAAGCATACATTAGTTTTTATGGTCCATTTTCGTTTTATTGCTAATTCGTCAGTTTTGAGTGAAGGCAATTTCATATAGTTGGTTTTCCTTCCTGTCTTGTATAGTATTGAAAAATACTCGTAGTCATTGAAGACAATATGCTAGTGTATTTTTTTCCCGGGTGATAAAAGATGCCCTCAAGAGTTACAGCTGATTGGCTGTTGCAAATCTGTTCAATTTTGTCCTGAAGTAATGATGTATTTCTAAACGAATTTATTATAATCGTGGGGATGACCGTTTTTGACAAGATATTTAGCCAAATTATATAAAGATATTGGCATTCATCATTTCAAACAGGAGCACGTAGGAAGTTATCAGTAATCTTGTATATGAATTAACTGTTAAACTCTGGTAACAAATTAATGCTTTCAGAAGAAGCATTTAATATACATGTACTTATTTTTACCTACAATAAGGCATGCTCAGACTAATTATATATCGGTAATACTACATTATGCAAAAACATTTTAAAAAGATCAGCATCACGTTAAAACTTTTAAACGACTGTCTGCAGAGCGAAAAATATTTGGTTGATCGCAGTCACATTTCCCGCCTCTGCTGAGTCATGTAATATTTCAATGTGATTCTGATCTTTTAAAATGATTTTTTGCATATTGTAGTACAGTATTACTGATACATAATTTAGTCTTAATATACCTTATTGTGGGTAAAAATTAGTATATATTAAATGCTTCCTCTGAAAACATGAATTTGCTACCAGAGTGTAACAGTTAATTCATGAATAGTACTTCTGATAAACATCTTTAGTGCTCATGTTTGAAATAATGTATGTATGTATCTTTATATAATTTGGCTAAATATCTTTCTCGTCGGAAACGGTCATCCCAGCGATTATGAATAAACTCGTTTAGAAATACATCATAACTAAAGGACAAATCGGACAGGTTTGCAACATCCTATCAGCTGTAACTTTTGAGGGGGCAGGGTGTCTTTTCTCAAGAGAAAAAGTGCACTATAGTGAAGGCTATTTTTTCTCATGATGTACACCAAAGCTTTAGGACACCTAAAGATTGTCCTCGAGGCAAGATGTTAACAACTGTTGACTGATAAATAATTGTGTAGTAATTTTTTTCTGCATTTAATGCTTCTACTAATTTTTACTTCTCTTCCAGGATGGAGAACTCGGCATTAAATGAGGGCAGGGTGGGGAGCTCTGCATTAAATGAGGGCAGGGTGGGGAGCACTATACATTAAGAAGTAAGCAAACATCTTTATGGTATTTTTAGAATTGGCCAATTTTTGCTTTAATTCCTAAATAATCATTATGGTTAGGGAATGCTATTTTTTCTTATGATGTACACCAACGCTTTAGGACACCTTAAGATTGTCCAAGAGGCAAGATGATAACGACTGTTGACTGATAAATCATTGTGTAGTTAGTTTTCTCTTTATCTTGATGCTTATACTAATTTTTTCTCATCTTCCAGGATGAAGGCAGGATGGAGAGCTCCATGCATTAAATAATGGCCCCTGTAGTAATAAGTAAGCATACATTAGTTTTTATGGTCCATTTTCGTTTTATTGCTAATTCGTCAGTTTTGAGTGAAGGCAATTTCATATAGTTGGTTTTCCTTCCTGTCTTGTATAGTATTGAAAAATACTCGTAGTCATTGAAGACAATATGCTAGTGTATTGTTTTCCGGGTGATAAAAGATGCCCTCAAGAGTTACAGCTGATTGGCTGTTGCAAATCTGTTCAATTTTGTCCTGAAGTAATGATGTATTTCTAAACGAATTTATTATAATCGTGGGGATGACCGTTTTTGACAAGATATTTAGCCAAATTATATAAGATATTGGCATTCATCATTTCAAACAGGAGCACGTAGGAAGTTATCAGTAATCTTGTATATGAATTAACTGTTAAACTCTGGTAACAAATTAATGCTTTCAGAAGAAGCATTTAATATACATGTACTTATTTTTACCTACAATAAGGCATGCTCAGACTAATTATATATCGGTAATACTACATTATGCAAAAATTTTTTAAAAAGATCAGCATCACGTTAAAACTTTTAAACGACTGTCTGCAGAGCGAAAAACATTTGGTTGATCGCAGTCATATTTCCCGCCTCTGCTGAGTCATGTAATATTTCAATGTGATTCTGATATTTTAAAATGATTTTTTTGCATATTGTAGTACAGTATTACTGATACATAATTTAGTCTTAATATACCTTATTGTGGGTAAAAATTTGTATATATTAAATGCTTCCTCTGAAAACATGAATTTGCTACCAGAGTGTAACAGTTAATTCATGAATAGTACTTCTGATAAACATCTTTAGTGCTCATGTTTGAAATAATGAATGTATGTATCTTTATATAATTTGGCTAAATATCTTTCTCGTCGGAAACGGTCATCCCAGCGATTATGAATAAACTCGTTTAGAAATACATCATAACTAAAGGACAAATCGGACAGGTTTGCAACATCCTATCAGCTGTAACTTTTGAGGAGGGGGCAGGGTGTCTTTTCTCAGAAGAGAAAAAGCGCACTATAGTGAAGGCTATTTTTTCTCATGATGTACACCAAAGCTTTAGGACACCTAAAGATTGTCCTCGAGGCAAGATGTTAACAACTGTTGACTGATAAATAATTGTGTAGTAATTTTTTTCTGCATTTAATGCTTCTACTAATTTTTACTTCTCTTCCAGGATGGAGAACTCGGCATTAAATGAGGGCAGGGTGGGGAGCTCTGCATTAAATGAGGGCAGGGTGGAGAGCACTATACATTAAGAAGTAAGCAAACATCTTTATGGTATTTTTAGAATTGGCCAATTTTTGCTTTAATTCCTAAATAATCATTATGGTTAGGGAATGCAATTTTTTCTTATGATGTACACCAACGCTTTAGGACACCTTAAGATTGTCCAAGAGGCAAGATGATAACGACTGTTGACTGATAAATCATTGTGTAGTTAGTTTTCTCTTTATCTTGATGCTTATACTAATTTTTTCTCATCTTCCAGGATGAAGGCAGGATGGAGAGCTCCATGCATTAAATAATGGCCCCTGTAGTAATAAGTAAGCATACATTAGTTTTTATGGTCCATTTTCATTTTATTGCTAATTTGTCAGTTTTGAGTGAAGGCAATTTCATAGTTGGTTTTCCTTCATGTCTTGTATAGTATTGAAAAAATACTCGTAGTCATTGAAGACAATATACTATAGTGTATTTTTTCCCTGGTGAGAAAAGATGCCCTCAAGAGTTACAGCTGATTGGCTGTTGCAAATCTGTCCTGAAGTAATGATGTATTTCTAAACTAATTTATTATAATCGTGGGGATGACTGTTTCTGACAAGATATTTAGCCAAATTATATAATGATACAGGACTTAGGAAGTTTATCAGAAATCTTGTATAGGAATCGACTGTTAAACTCTGGTAGCAAATTGATGCTGCCGAAGGATGCATTTAATATATATAAATTTTTAATGACAATAAGGCATATAAGGACAAATTACGTATTGATAAAGCTGCACTATGCAAAAACTAACATTTTAAAAGATGAGAATCACAGAAATATGAAGTTTTTCAGTTATATTTCCTACTGAAGCGCCCAAGTCTCTCGTCCACCAATTTCTCAGTGGCCATGTAATATTTTAGTGTGATTCTGATCTCTTAAAATGTTAGTTTTTGCATAATGTAGTATTATTAGTTTGTCCAGGTATGTCTTCTTGTAGGTGAAAATAAATATATATATTAAATGCGTCCTTCAAAAGCACCGATTTGCTACCAGAGTTAAACAGTTAATTCATATATAAGATTTCTGATAAACTTCTTACGTGCTCCTGTTTCAAATGGTCAATGTATACATTATATAATTTAGCTAAATATCTTTCTCCTTAGAAACTGTCATCCCAACTATTATGAATAAACTCGTTGAGAAATACATCATTACTTCCGTACGAAATCAAACCAATTTGCAACAGCCAATCGGTTGTAACTCTTGATGGGGGGGGGGGGATTTCTCAGCTGAGAAAAAAAGCCCTACAGTAGGTTACTGATTTCACAAAGCTTGCATGGAATGGAAAGTGGGCTCCTATAATGTGTATGTTAAACTTCCCACATCTTGTGTTCGATCCCAGAGTCACTGGTGCAGTATTATGTTGCAGCAGTGCTAAGGTTGATTCGTAGATTAAAGCTGGGCTGATTACAGGTGTTCTGTGTCCTTTATACACATTTCCAAATTTTTGGCCTAGACAAGATTTGAATATAACCAGCTGTTAATGTAGACTATATTTGCAAATGTCTTGTGACTGTAAACAGTGCTGTGAATGTTTTAAAAGGTAAAAATTAAGAAGTATTTTACCATTTTCAGAACTGCCAGAAAGCGTGTTGTAAACGGTCAGACTCGGACAAAGGTTAGTATGGGTTTTTGTAGAAGCTTGTACAGTGTAATCATTAAGATTTTGATGGGCTGAATGTAGTGGGTAACACTAATCTGGAGAATGCTTAGTAAAATCTCTTAAGTGATGAATAAAACTAGTTCACATTCGCGGTTTCCAACAGATGGCTTCGGTCAATGATGGCCTGTGATGTCTGATATGTGATTAAGAATATTTTAGATTTTAATTAAGTTGACAGTTTTTCTAAACATGAAAATTTCCTCTAGGGTTGTGGCAGAGCATTGGAGCAAAATGGATTTTTGGTAAGTTTGTTTTGTAATGTTGTTTGAGAATAATATTGACTTGTTATATCTAGTGGAGTATCTGGTGGAATGGGAGCATCAGACAATAAACAATGGGGGGGGGTGCTGTTATAAAGTTCATAAACTCTTGGCTTAACCGACTGATCTGAAAGTGCTTTGGTCTGAAACTTGTATTTTGGAAATAATGAATTTAACTAAAAAATATGATGAACATTATGACACCTCTGCTGATATCAGAATGATTTTTAGTATTCGTACTCTGAAACACATTTGATATGGAGAGAACCCGCATTTAAAGGCAATTTATTGAAATATTTTTTGTATTTTGCAGGAATTGTCTGCAATTGCATCCTGAATCTGGTAAGTATGCATAAAGGATACAGGTGTTTACGACTTCTGTATGTCTATTGAAAAAGTGGTAGGCATAACCTTTTCAAATGCAGCGGGTCCCCGGGTTATGAATGGGTTCCGTTCTCGAGCTGGAACGTGCTAGTGCATACCTTACTTACAGAACAATGAATAAAATCCCACTCTCATAGCCTAAGTCCTCATCTACATCTAAAATCAGAGACAAGAAATAGAATGACAAAATAGTTGATAAAAGTTAAAAGTTAGTCGGGTAAATTAAATCCAATAAATTTCAAGTTTAATCCCGTTCGTAAGTCAGGGACGCTGTAATATGAATTGTTAATGGTGCAATATGTTGGTACTGGTAGGCGTTGTTTAATGTCAATTAAGAGTAGTAGCCAAGCTTTGGTTATGGTGGTTAGCACCAGAAATGGTCAGATTCATTCAAATTGCAACAAGAACCATTATATAGGAAAACTTAATCCAAACCTGGCTCCTATCATAAACTGTCCAATGTGTTCTTCTTTACTCTTAAAAGGTTGTATTTAACAAGACTAGTGTAAGATTGTGGCTACCTTAATACTGCTGCTCTAAGATAAGGTGGGGTTGGGTACTCGGTGAATTTAGCTTTCAGTAATACAGTAGAACGTCGATATAACGCTACATATTTCAAGAGGTCGCTTTGAATCGAATTTGCACTAAATCGGTGTGATATTACAATGAAATAATTAAGTTTGGTACTTGAGAGAAACCCAAAACACTAAAAAGACACTAGTAAATATGAGAAAAATGAATGGCGTAATATATATGCAGCAAGCGCTCCTAATTCAACACAGAAGTTATGGGACACGAAATGGTCTGTTTACTAACAATCGGCTGATGTGATAGGGTGGTCGCGCTTGCACCTCACTCCATCCCTACCAGTCATGCACTTTCACTTTCCTCTTAACTTAGTTTTTCATTACTTTGCCATCAAAAATAGATTTCCACCCACCTTAGGCAAATCATCCTCTGAAGATGCTGTATGTTCATTCACTAGAGCGTCGGTGCTTGAACTGGGGATGTGTGAGGGTGGCGGGCAGCCTTGTAGTGTGCCCAGAGAGGCGTCTGGCGGGAAACAGTAGGCGTGAAGCTTAAAATAGTAGTGCTTATTTCCATATGACATGCTTGAGTTGACCTGTGTAACATAGGAAAGATTTGCTTTAAATTAACAAGGTGTCCTTAATTGTGGGTATTGCTTTAAATTGGCATTTTACTGTAAAATTGCCATATTTTTTGCCTAGACAGGATTTGAATATAACCAGCTGTTAATGTAGAATATATTGGCAAATGGCTTGTGAATGTTTTAAAAGGTAAAAATTAAGTATTTTACCATTTTCAGAACTGCCAGAAAGCGTGTTGGAAACGGTCAGACTCGGACAAAGGTTAGTATGGGTTTTTGTAGAAGCTTGTACAGTGTAATCATTATTAAGATTTTGATGGGCTGAACGTAGTGGGTAACACTAATCTGGAGAATGCTTAGTAAAATCTCTTAAATGATGAATAAAACTAGTTCACATTCGCGGTTTCCAACAGATGGCTTCGGTCAATGATGGCCTGTGATGTCTGATATGTGATTAAGAATATTTTAGATTTTAATTAAGTTGACATTTTTCTAAAAATGAAAATTTTCCTCTAGGGTTGTGGCAGAGCATTGGAGCAAAATGGATTTTTGGTAAGTTTGTTTTGTAATGTTTGAGAATAATATTGACTTGTTATATCTGGTAGAGTATCTGGTGGAATGGGAGCATCAGACAAACAAAGTGAGAAACCTAACTATTATGATGAATATAATCATCTTGATATTTATGAGAGTAAGTCAAAAGGATTCTGAATTTTCATTTATATTCTTTGCTTTTATTATTTAAACATTATAATGGAATGATTTCCCCTTCCCCACCCAGATTAGTGGCTGGTCTTTGGTGGGATACAACATTTACTGTTGGTGAGTAAAGAAATTTAATTAGCTGATGCTTCTAACTTGCTGGAAGTAGAATTGTTAGTAAATGATGCTTGTTATCCCTGTCTTAACAATTGGTGTGGAGGAAATTTTCACTGAATTACTTTGTTAAGAAATGTTCATGTCTAAATATTGAACTACATTAACCAGGAAATTATTTCAGGTGGTTAGCATGGCAGTTGGTGATGGAGGTTTTCTTCTGTACTGATGGTTAGTTTATCTTCTGTTACATGTAAAAAGTGAGATCATGGTAATATATGGATTATTCATGACAGTGGCTGTTTGATCACAAGCCTTTCAGTGCTTAGGGTATTAATTTGAATGGGATATTTTGCTGGCACTCAATTAGCTCTGTGAATGCACGCAAATGGGGTAATGGTAAGGAATATTTAATTTGGATACAATTTGATTTTACAATGATGATCACTGGAAGAGTCTAACGACATGTGTTGATTAATGATGCACTGAGATGTGACCTTGCTGTGTCTTTTAGGCCCCAAGATGATTTATTAGTAATATCGAATATTTCTTCTTCCAGGGCAGTGGCAAGCGGGTGTTGATAGCCTCATCATTCGGGTAATTAAACTATACCAACATATTTTAGGAAGTACTGTTGCTCTTGTCAGATGCTGTAGTAGCATTTTAATTGTGGTAGATTAAGAGGGGCACCATGTTAAGGTTATGAATAACAAGACAATGCTCAATTCAATGTCATTGAATTGGGGGTATTTGATGCAGCTTGAATTTCCAGTTGCCATTCTGTGAAACAAATGATGTACAGGTAAGGAAGGCTCTGTAGAAGTATAGTGGGGAAGTTTGTAATGATTGATATGATGAATTGATGACGAGACCTAAAGCACGCTTACCCGCAGTGCTGATTGGTGTGGACTAGAGGCATTTGACTGAGCATAAAATATATGTTTTGACTGACAAAATTTGTACAATATTATTATTTTCTAAAGTTTACCTTATTTTCCAGAACCCAGGCGCCTGACAAAATTGTCGTCTCATTTTGGTAAGTAAATCGGTGTGTGGGAGTCTTTCTTTGAATACTAATTTTCAAAAGTATGGAGGTTTATTTGATAGTACCCTACACATTAGGTGAAGATGGGAATATTACTTGGCAACTATTTAGGATGAATATGACAAGCATATGGCTGAAAATGTGATGTTCAATATTATCTGATCACTTGAGTTTTTCATTTGTTGGGGGTATTCTAAACCTAATCTAATGTTAAAAATGTTTCTATTTCCAGGCTGTGTGACCAGTATGCTTTGTGCTGAAACTATAATGGCAGGAGCAATTTGTGATGGACTGCTGCCTTTGTTACTGCAAGCATGTTTACTTGAAAACTTGGTGTATACCATAAGGTTAGTTATAAATATGGACCTTGCTAATAGTCCTGGGTAGCCTATATTTGGAAAAGGTATTGATTTGTACATTACATGATGATTTGACAACCCCTTTTCTGAAAGGTCCTGGAGCATAACCAAAGTTTATGACAAATTTTTACTATACTGTATTTTATACCTTTGTTACTAATCCATCAATCCTTTACAGGGAGACCTACAGGATTTTCTAGTCTCTAATTGGTACATCCGTGGCAAGTCCTGCAACCCTCAATTTTTGCACTTTCATAATGCCCAGAAGTATTGCAGCCACTGCCTATCCTTAAGCAGTGTGAGCTTGGCATTTTTTTCTTAAACAAGAAATATCAAGAGTGGTCGGCATTAAAGTGGAAATGTGTAACAGTGTGTGGAAGGGACCTACAGACCTTCACTAACTGGCAACTTTTACAGCCAGAAATATGTGCCACTGTTAAAAAATCCTGACTTGATTATGTGGTAGTTTTGGTTACTGGGGTGCAGAAGTTTGTTGCTAAAAAAAAAAAATGGAATGGATACAACTACTTGCACTACTTGCCAGTCATTGAAAAGTGCAATGCTAACATGTTATGCAGAATAGTTCACATTGTCATACTGTCAAAACAGTAGTTGGTGGCTATGTGATTGCCATGTGAACTTAATTGAGGACTGGCCAAGCAATTCCCTGGATATTAATCCAGTTGAGAAGCCTTGCATTTTCAAGCAACTACTGCAGGGGAGGGATATGTTGTAAATTCCAAAGCTGGAGGCTGCCATCTGTGAAGAGGGAACTAATTTGGACCCTGAGCTGGGGAAGCGGAAGCCTATTGACAACTAACTGGTTGGTGAGTACACATTTTGGTTTTTTGTCAGTAGTGAGTGGTGTGGCAGGGTGCTGCCTACTTTCATGGTCTTTTAAATTTGTGATTTAAGAAATGGGTTGGGAGGGAAGTCAGGTTGAATGAACATACAGTAGATGATAACCAGTACTTATTTCAAAGGAACACCCAAGCAGAGATTTGACAGTGTTACAGACACTGATCCCAGGTTGGGTATGGGGTGGGTGATCACATTGCACCTCCCTGATCCTACGGGTGTGAGGAGACGGCATTTAGATCATGAGACAAGGGTTCTTGCCATATAATATAGATGCTAGTGTTCTGTACAGCTTGGTTTACCCCCATTGCATATTACTTTTAGTAAAGATGTTTACCTACTGCCTTAAGCATGTTCTGTGATGAATTCTTGACACCTCTACTGATATCTAAATGAATTAGTACTTTATTTTTCTGAAATTCAGTCCTCTTGTAACAAACCAAATTTTAATGCCAGTAATTGAGATCTGTCAATTCTTTTACAGGAAAGACTTGGTTTTGGCCTGCATTTGGTGCTGGGTAAGTTGAGAGGATGCAACATTTTGTATCATTCTGGTGTGTTGATTGGAGTGATATTTCTTTAATCTGATTTATTAGAAAGTTAGTACACTGAACCTTTATTGTAAATGTGCAGGTAAACAATTAGCCCCCCGGGTCAGTCGGAACAGAAAACTTGTAACCAGAGATAGTTTAATGTTTTTTTAAAGATGCCTGGGGTCTAGATAGTTTAAAGAGGAGCTGTTGTAAATGTAGGTTTTGGTATATTATGATGAAAAACCAATTTATGAATCCTGTAGTCACTACACAGCAGCGCCAGCAATGGTGGAACCCACTGTTGTGGACTATGGGAGGTGTATTTAATTTGCCGAAAGGCCGTCTGATGAGTGTTTACTATATATTAGTGAATTTGCTCGTGCTTGTATTTATAAAAGCTTATCTTCCCACAGGAATGTGTTCGTTGGCAAGTTCCTTGGCTACAATGATGTCATGGGTATTTTAATGGTAGGTTACTGAATGAGTGACAACTTATGGTGGAGGAATTGTGTGCAATCCAATCGTGATAAAAGATGAGGGAGGAAATTTCATGATGATAACCTATATATAACCTGACACCTGAGGGTTGAAGCTCAACAGGGCTGATTGTTATATTAACAGGAAATATTGGGACAAAATTTAAAAGATTCTAAAATATTGTATTCTCTTCCAGTTAGTGATGCATCATTTGTGGACACAGTTTGCCCAGGTAAGGAAGGTGACAGAATATTGTTGCATTTCAGATATGATGAAATACTATATAGTATCTTGATAACTGAGAGGAAGTCAAAAGGATTCTGAGTAATCATACATTTTGTATGGCAATCTTGATTAAACCTTGTACGTACTGATGTGTAATTGTTTTTTCAGAATAGTGTTGTTTGATGCCATACAGCTGGGACCATGAAGGTGAGTAACTTGTGATTATGTTAACTTTTTATAAAGCTGAATGATGATCATTCTACTCTAAATAATAATGTTGATGTATTGAATTCCTCGTTTCTGATGAAAGTAATATTGTGTTCATATTTTTGGATATTAAAATGATTATTGAGTTGTGTAATTTCTTGACAGGTGCCCTGATTGGCTGACCTTTCCATTCATAAAATGGTACTGAATGGCAGGCATTTCAATTCCTAAAACTGTAAGTGTGAATTTTTTGTAATTATTGTTGTAACTGAATATGATGATTGTTATCCCTGTCTTAAGTTAATGTGGATTAATATTGCACTGAATTATACAGTATTCAAATATACTGTACTTGTATATGTAATGCTGCACTACACTAATAAGAAACTATTTCAGATGTGCAGTTGGTCATTGGATCTCCAATATTAATGGTTAGTAAATCCTCTGGCCCAACAGTTTTGAGGAATAGATATAAGATTTTCTATGATTGAGGATAATGGCTATTAAACATTTATATGATGATATATTGACCTTCCTTAGATGTCCGATTGGAAGTGTGGAGATGAAACGATTCTGAAGTTTATATACAAACATAACGTGTAATAATGTTGGGCCCTGGACTAAAAAAAATTATATATATAATTTGCAGGTCCATATATGGGAGCTTGCATTCACTACAGATGGAAGTAACTGGCTTTTGGCAAGGAGAACTGGGACCACTTCATTCAGGTGAGTGTCTGGTGTATAATTTGTTTATTTTTGCTGTTAAATAGATGTACATTAATTTATAATGACCACAAGTCTTCATCTGTGATGACTTTGTAGCATTTTGGAGTTCTACTTGTGGTAGAGTAAGATGATGTGTACTGCATTATGGGTATGACTTGTCAATAGCATAGTGCACATCATAACATTGCTTGATGTCAGAATGGTAAGGGTCCAAGTACATAGATATTTTAATTGGTGCATGGAGTTGACTGTTTACCTGCAGTACAGTACTGAATGGTGTGACCTTGAGCCACTTGACTGATAAAATGAAGTACATGAATTATAAAGAAAAAATATAATTGTTTACTGGATCCTAAACAAAGGTTTTATCTTACAGTACCCATAAGTTAATGGGGGCAAGCACACACATGGCTGCTGTTTCTCAAGATGGTTGCAACTGAAGGACTAATATTCCATGTAAATTGCGAGTTTGCCAATTTGAATGATTTTTGGCATTGTTTTGATTGTACCAAAGTTTATTCTCCAAAATTGTCTACTTCAGGCCGTTTCATAAAATATTGTGGTAAGTGACTTAAAAGTTTTGTCCGGGATGAGCTGAAACTAGTAAAATGACCCTTTTCATAACTAAGTTCATATATCACCAATAACATTGGTAACTGAAGCTTGCTTCCTTGCTCCTGTTCACCTACTCCTCCCTGACAGTGTGGGTAGAGGAGATAGCTGCTACTTGATTTCATGTCCATGCTAATGATAACCTTGGGCTGGTTTACAAACACCTTCTTAAAAGGGGTTTGCCCAGACATAATGCTCATAAAATGTTAACAAAACCTACAGATAGCAAAATTAAGAAGTCCTATTGTGATACAATGTAAGCAAATTAGCAAATTCTTCATTTATGTGGTTTGCATCGCCACTTTAGCTCTAGCTACTCGGTGGATTATTGGATTAATGCAATTGTTCTCTTAGTAATGTTTGGTGAAAGTTCTAGAGTTTATATATATGAATAAGAGTATAATAATTTTGTGCTTCCTAGCTGAGGAAGGATACCTTGAATAACATGATGAATAATGACAAGCATATGTCTGACACTTTTGATGTTGAATTTTATCTGAGTTCTATTAAGATTATTCTACTGCTATAGTTAATAATGTACCAGTGCAGTGTATACAATTTTAATTATTTTCAGGCTTGGTATTGATCTGCTGTGGCAAAATTTATACAAGAAAATTTTCTGAGGGATGATGTTGTTTTTTACCTGCTGGCAAGTATTTACTTCTTAATATTGAGTTGTATCTTGTAAATCTGTAATCATACAGGTTAACATTGCTAATGTTATGATGGGACAGTAGTGGATTTGAATGTATGAGTGGAGGGAAGGAACTGATGTCAATGCACTTGCTTTAGTTACGAATTGGTGTCTTTAAAAAGGTGGTGAAACTAAAATAAAAATACAATTTTTTGTAAGAAAATAGTGGGGGTTAGGGAGAGTGCAGCCTCAACTTGGGGAATGTCGAAACTGTACACTGTACATATGCACTTAGTATTGTTATTCCTGCCTCATGCTGCCAGCCTGTATCAACTGTTTAATTCACAATTTTAGGTACTTGATTAAAAAAAAAGCCCACACCTTGAATAAATTCTATATCCACATTATTCAAAATTGTGAAAGTTAAATTTGTGTAATTTGAGGGGTAGGTGAATTGGATAGACCATAATTTTTTGTTTACCTTGCTCAATAGAAATGGTTTAATGTATGATTACAAGACCGGGCAAGTAATCTAGTACATAGTTAAAATTAAATTTTTTGCCTCTTGCAAAGTTGGAAGTAAAGTATTAACGGCTCCAGATTCTGAAATGGGTATTAGTTATGTGGGTCATATTGATTGGTATAAGTTCGTATCAATTTTGGGACTGGATTATCACCTTTAGAATAGTAGTTTTGAATGTAGGTTAAATTTCAGTATGATGATTGTTCACAGACCTGTTCTGCAATACTTTGAAGAATAAAGAACGGCCATCTGATAGTGATTGCGGTTACTGCATTTTAAGTTGATTCATCCCTTTTCTAATCTAGCCATTGTTTTCAGGTTCCAAGACAGAATCTCCAAATTTGATGGAACCAGAACTAGCTTTACCTCACTGGTAGCTCATACAAGTCAAGTTATACCCGAGCAATATGTAATGGGCTTACATGAAGTAAAAATCGTCATAGAACATAGAGGACTGGCCGTCAGAACTGAGGATGGTACTCGGATGGATTGCCAGTTGAATTATGTTTTGTAACATGTGGGTTTTAGTTATCTGGATGGTGTACAGATTGCACGGGACTAATGACGCTGGATGAACGATCGGACTAGGTGTAGGGCAAAAGGTCTGAACCTACAGTAGTTGTATCCCATACAAGAAAGTGCTCATCAGGGTGGTAAAAGAATTAACCCTCGACTCTGAAGATCAAAAATAGTTATGGCCACAAAATCTACCAACAAATCATTCCTCACTGACTGGGCAAAGTGTTGTCTTTGTCAAATCCTGCCAAAGAGGAGATGAGGGTTACAAGAGCTTGGCAAGGAATATTCCTCTATTTCATTCAATCAATGCACTGCCAGTCAAGCTTGACCCTGCAAGAGGATAGAGGAAACCTTGAGGAGAAACAAGGCACAGTATCATTAGAGTTGCAGACTTCTGTTCAACAACACAAAGTTAAATAGAGCTCAGAAAAGGCGAACCTCTGTAGTTGCTACAGAGGAGAGCAGCTGTAGCAAGATACCAGGAATGTTCAGAGACCCCAAAGCAACAGAATGCTTTCTATGTGAGGAAGTTTCTGGAGATGACATAAGGCGTGCAATGACAATGAAAGATTGTGCGAAGACACGTAGTGATGGAAAACTCCTTGCCAAATAAAGAGCAGGAGATACTGTGGCACATGAACTGAAGTATCACCCTCGCTGCCTGGTAGACCTGTACAACGGAGAAAGAACACTCACAAATGCTCATGAGCAAGAAGCACAAGATCTTCATCTGAACAAGGACGCATACCCTACTGCTTTCTCTGAACTGGTCGCTTACATCACTGATGAAAGCTTCTAGTGAAGGTACTGAACCACCCATTTTCAGACTTGCTGACCTGGTCACACTACAGACAGACTGGAGCAGATGGATGTTGATGCTCCTAGTGTTCATGCTACTCTGCTGAAGGACCAACTGCATTTTCACATCCCCCAGCTGCAAGCTCATCACCAAGGAAGAGATATCTTACTGGCCCTTGAGGAGGATGTTGGCTCAATCCTGGCACAAGCAAGCAAATACAGTGATGCCATCCATCTGGCCAAGGCTGCTGGGATGATATGATGGGACATGCTTCAGCACAAGTCCCACTTCAGCAGTACATTTCATGAAGGATACATTGAACAGGCTGTTCCACCATCACTGCTTCAATTTGTATGCATGATCGAACATGATGCAGATATCAAATCCCAACTCCAGCAGGATGCATTGAAGTATGACTTTGCTATGTCACAGCTCTTACAGTACAACTGCTTTGCCAACTACCTGTACAAGGAACACAAATCCACAGACACTACAAGGACCATGAGACACCTTTTGCGATCTACGTCGACATGTCTGTGTTTGCTAAGACAAGAAAGAGGCAGCTCATCGACATGCTGCATGAAAATGGGGTCAGCATTTCATATGACAGTTCTACAATTATCAGCCCAGCTAGGAGAAGCAGTTGTATGCCAGTACATGTAAGATGGAGTGGTGTCCACCTATCTTGAAGAAGCAGTTGTTCACGACTTCAGCAGTGGACAACATTGACCACAACCCTACTGTATCTACGGCCAAAACGTCCTTTCATGGGGCCAGTGTGCCCATCTTCCAACATCCAAGCCCTGACCAGGCTGGTGAGGAGCATGAGCCACTCTGATGGAAAGCAGATAGATGGTCAAGAAAGTTCCTGAGCTTCCAGAGGCACAAAGATGTACTGTCAGAAGAAATCACAGGAACCAGTGCTATTAGTGAGTACTTTTTTTTTAGTACGTTCTTTTTGGGTTATATTTTTTTACCAAGTGTTTTATGTGGATAAAAATGTTGGGTGAGTGGTTATTAATTTTGGGACTGGATTATCGCCTTTAGAATTAATAGTTTTGAATGTAGGTTAAATTTCAGCATGATGATTGTTCACAGACCTGTTCTGCAATACCTTGAAGACTAAAGAACGGCCATCTGATAATGATTGAGGTTACTGCATTAAAACTTGACTTATCCTCTTACTAATTGAGCCATTTTTTTTCAGGTTCCAAGACAGAATTTCCAAAATTTGATGGCAATATGTAATGGGTTACATGGAGAATTAAAAATCGCCATGGAGGACTGGGCGTCGGCTCTGAGGATGGTACTGGAACAGATTGATATTGAAGATGTACAACATATTTCCTTTTGACAAGAAATATCATGAGTGGTCTGCATAAAAGGTTGTGTGCCACTGTTAAAACATCCTGACTTGGATTGTGTGGAGTCATTTTGGTTACTGTGGTGTAGAAGGTTGTTGCAAAAAAAAAAGTGAATCTATACAATTACTTGGACTATTTGCCAGTTATTGAAAAGTGCAATGCCAACATGTTTATGCAGAATTTGGAAGGATTCTAATTAACTAGTGTAAAAAGTCCCATAGCCATTTGGGTCCTCTGCACCTTGATGTAGAGAAGTTCCTTTAGAGCTAAACCAAATACTGTAGTGTATTTAGCTTTTTTCACAACTAGAATTATAATTAATTGTTGTCCTCTTCCATTTTCTTTACTAGTTCCATGAATTTATTTTAACATGACAGCTAAGGGGTTGTTATTGTAATTAATTATAGCTGGCATTTGGTTTCTCAAGAGTGCATATCCGAGGAATTCTCTTGCTTGGAACACTGTAAAGCAGTCGGACTTGAGAATAAATAGAAATGCTGTACTATAATAAAAGATTAATGTAACCAACTTGTATCATTCATTTACCCTTGTTTTAAAACTTCATATAATTCCCCATCACAGAATACTCAACAAACGTCCAGCTTCCACAGCATGGATGCACAGATTGTACACACTGCTAAAAGTTCAAGATTGCTCCAAGCCTAAGGGTTACGAAAGAAATCTGAGCATTGCTTCGAGAGTTTATTGCAAATACTTTAAGCCTGTACATACTGTACAGTAATTACTTATGGCAAGTGAACAATCTGGGTCATGTAGAGGGAGGTTCTTCTCCATTGCAATCTACAGGTAAAAGTTTTTCTTAGTAGAGTCTGCTGCTATACTTATCTCCCCCCCCCCCATTTGTGCACTCCAAATTAAATACTACACAAATTCCTCTTACTGCCGAACCTAATTATGTACTCTTCAATTTTAAGCAAGACTTCAAAAATTAAAACTTGACCCCACTTGCATTTATTCCAATGCTTGTTCAACAACAGACTCATTGGATCATGCAATACTAACAGCCCTCTTCCATGTAATGTGCTGTACAATATGTATTGTACATGGAAGAGGGCTGGTCTAATCACATGCCAGGAAACCATGGAGCATCTGGAGTTTTCCCTTTTCCTAGTCTTACTATAGACAACACAACATATACAGTAGTACCCCACTTAAGGCAGTCAATTGAACCCACAGGATACCATGTTAAGTGAACAACAACATATGGGATTAATTCCAATAGAGACTGGCAGGACCCCCAAACTCTACTTTTTCCGACACAATACCTATGTTCTAGTAAAAATAACATCTTAATTTTATGATGGTACATGCACAATTAATACTTTAGAGAAATACAGTTGCCAAGTTAATGTCCATTCAAATAATGGACTGGACTCCCTCCCCCTCTTCTCACACTACACTCACTGGCTCTTCCCTCTCCGCGAAATTTTGGGGGGAAAACCACTAAATTTTAATAAATAATACCTCAAACTAAAGTTAGGATAATATAATTGACATTGCTGGATTCCTTGTAAGACCAGGAATATTTTGAATATAAATATCATATATTTTGCACAAAAAATAACATTTACTCAGAGTATACATTATATTTAAAATTTGTATGTCTAATGCAAAATCTATGATGTTTATATTCAAAATGATCATCATATTTTAAGAATTCCAGCAATGTAAATTATATTCTGGCGGGGTAATTTGTATGAATTTTATGAGCTAAAGCAGGCAGGCAGGCGGTGGTGGGTGTGGCGAATCTAAAAATAGCGTCTGGAGCCAGACACTGCGCATATATGTGGGAAAAACCCGTGTTAAGTGTAAGTTCAGCTCTGGCGAGGCACCGCGTATACGTGAAATCGCGCTAAGCGAAACGGCGTTAAGCGGGGTATTACTGTATAACCTTTCTCACTCTAGATCTGTTCTATTCTTTTATTCTCCTATGATCTCAGTTTACAATACTGTAATATTAAAGTGTGACCTTCTTGGATGGGAATCAATTGATGTCACTGCACTTGCTGGAGGATGGGCTTTTTTCACACTTCATTTTTCCAACATTTGGGGCCTGAGATCCAAATTTCCTTCCTGTAGAGCACCATCTATTAACCTCTTGCCAATAGCAACTTCACCCAAACCTTTTCAAGTTTCCAACTACAAACTTTAAACCTCACCAGCTAGAGAAGGTAAAGAAAAGGGCCTGCAGAATCATACTCGGCACAGACTACTCCAGCTACAACAACGCTCTCTCCACCCTGGAAATGCCATCCCTCAGTAACCACCAAGCACTAGCAAGGTTTGGCACCATCCTCATCATCGCCACCTCGCGCAGTCCGCCACTAAAACAAAATTCAGCCTATAAGAGCCCACACCGATAGATATAAGAATAGCACCATCCCATCTATTGTTAAAATAATAAAGTCCTGATTTATGTACTGTACAGCCCTGTAAATGTATTGAACATACATTATTATGTCTAAATCACATGTAAGTTTGTATATTTTCAGCCACCGGCTGCAACACTATAAATAAACCGTTTATTATTATTATTACACCTATAGCTCAACTCACGGATCTTGAATCTTCTCTGTGATGTCATCTGGCCCAAAATATCTCTACCAACTTGTTTCCTATACCGTTCTCCCAACTCTACAAACTATTTAGAACTTTAGTGTATCTCACTTCTTGCCATGAGTCGTTGCTATCCACACACCCCAACATCGAGATCATCTACCTAGCAGATTTCAATGTACATCACAGAGTGGCATGGCTCTGCAAGGGAATGACCCAGGTGGTGCCAAGGCACTCCCTTTATCCTTACTTAATGATCTGGAACAAACAATTAAGCACCCTACATGCATTCCTGAGCAACTTGCTAACATTCTTGATCTTTATTTTACCTCTAACCCCTCACACTATTCATACTCATTTTCTGCCTCCTTAGGGTCTTGGGTCTTCTGATCACAATCTTATTTCTGTTAAATCCGGCTGGGCACGACCACCTCCCCCTAAATGCCAACTATGGCACTATAGGAGGGCAAACTAGCGATCCTTGCACGAATTCTTCTCTGACTTTTCTTGGGATGAATGTTGCTTTTCCACTTGGGATGCCTCAGTATGTGCTGACAGCAATGCTGGGGTTATATAGGATGGTATGAGTGCATTTATCCCATCTACCAAGACTCACTTTACAATCATGGTTTGATCACTCTTGCATGTGGGGAGAGAGAGGGTGTATCACATTATGAAACTATCTCCTATTACACACTCCTCTTTCATTACTTCTAGGAATCGTTGTAAGGCTATTTAATACTTCATAGGGCCAAACAGAATTTTATAAAAAGAAAGACCGCTGTCCTGACTAACTCTTCTGGTCCTTCACCAAATACTTCTGCACTTCCTCTCTTCCAACCTGATAACTCTATAACCAACTCTCCCTCAGATAAAGCCAATCTCTTTGGCACCTTATTCTCCTCTAACTCACCTTAGACAATTCCAACTCTATCCCTCCTACTGAACCTATGCACTTTCCTATAATATCCACTTGTAGGGTTAAGGTAGTCTGTAACGAAGTAGATAACTGCCAATGAGAACAACTCTCGTATCAAATTTGTGTGGATTCTGTCCCATGTTGGAACTAGGTATCATGACTATGCTGATACTCGCCAATGAGGCATGTAAGAAAAAAAATGTTGACCGTGACCTTGGCCTGACCAATGCTGTACTTAAAAACATTCAAGTCAGAATCATGAACTCTGATCTCGAAGAACTGAGAAATGCAGAGACCTGGCAGTTTTAACATTAGTAAATGACCAAATTTGTGACAAGAGATACTGATATGGCCAGCATAAGGACAGAACTAGACAATGTGATGTGCGCAGAATTAGGATAGGACACAGACATCTGGTAAGTAACGCTGTACCCATACCGGAACAATACGGCATGTAAACTTTGTGATAACCCTTTAACACTATATTATTGAATGTGACACTGTCAAAGACTTCAGGCCACCTGGCTTATTGTATCATGAGCTTTGTAATTACTACATTGAATCAGGGGTGCTTGAGGACATTCTTGCTGTTTATCCAAAAATTTGCTAGCCCACACTGATTAGTCTTCAATTAGAATATGACATCCAATGAACCACTGTCCTGCATGGCAGTGAACAGTGACATTACCCACCTGACTATGACCCATATATATACTGCTAATGAATATGATGTATTTCTTTGTGTACGAACCTCTGTACAGCGACATCAACCAACATGACTCTGACCTATATATACTGTTAATGAATTATATATATGATCTATTCCTTTGTGTATGAACCTCTGTCCTGCATGGCAGTGAGAAGCGATACCACCCTCAGTGTCAAGACCTGATTGAATTACTCAGTATAGGCAAACTGTACTACAAGCTTTGTCAATAAATTTGTTAAACTAAAAAAAAAAAGCTCGTAGGGTTGCTGGTGTGTTATCCAGGTTGGATGTGAGCAAGGCACATTGACTGGACGGAATACCCCCTTGTGTTCTGAAGTTCTGGCCCGTGCTTGCTCGCCTCTCAAAACCCAAACTTTTCCCTCTTCTTGGAAGCCTGCCTCGGTTCAGGCCATCCCAAAGGGTGACCATTCCAATCACCTCTAACTATCCCTAACTTCATCCCTCTCTAAGATTTTCAAAACTGTCTTACTCTCATTTTCTTCATCACTTTGAACACTTTTCACGGATCACCAGCGTGGCTTTCACCAGGCAAGATCTACTGGTGATCTGCTCTCCCCTACCTTTGGTCATCCTCTTTTGTCATGGCCCTCAACATCACCAAAGCATTTGACAGGGTACAACACAAGTCTTTGCTTTCTTAACTTCCCTCTTATGGATTCACCCCCCACTTTCTAGCTTCCTTGAGAAACGATCCATGGCAGTTGTCGTCGAGGGATCGATCTCTCGCTTTCTCTACCAATAGTGGTGTCCCACAGGGTTCTGTTATTTCACCTACTCTCTTCTTTCTTTTTATCAATGATTTACTTCACACAACTAATTCTATCCATTCTTACACTGATGATTCTACTCTTCACATTTTTCCCTTCCCCCTAACTCTCAAGCTAGATCTGTTTCTAGAGCCGATGTCATTTCAACCATCAATGTGGAATTGTGCAGCATCTCCGAATGGGGAGGTAGAAACTTGGTTAAATTCAATACCTGTAGTAATAAAACAGTATTTACCAATTACACTTTCCAAATTAGATGATCTCCCACAAATCACATTTCAGGACGCTATCATTCTGCCAAATTCTAAAATAAATATGCTAGGCCTCACCATTTCCTCTACTATGTCATGGAAGCCACACATCCACAACATTGTTAAAGCTGCCTCCTGAAAACTGGGGATGCTGTACAGATGCTGTAGCTACTACTTCACTCCTGAACAGTTGCTCCAAGTATACAAGGGATTCATTCGTCCTAACTTGGAGTACAGCTCTCATATCTGGGGTGGCTCCTCTTTTGTCCAACTGTTAGTTAGGGTGGAATCAAAGGCATTTTGTCTTATTGACTCTCTTCCCTTTCTCCTCACTACAATGTTACTTCACTCTCTCCCTTTTACGGGTTCTTCAACAGGCAATATTCGGTGGATTTGGCATCCTGTGTACCGCCGGCACGGCCGTGGGCTCGTAACACACGTCTTGCCCGCGGTGCCCACCGTTTCTCTGTGGATGTGGGTCACACTAGAATAACCCATTATAGTACAACCTTATTTCCTCACACAGCCAAACTGTGGAATGCTTTGCCTTCTTCCGAGTTTCCATACCCATACAATGTCTCACTTTAAAAAGCTGGTTTTCCAGCTTCTTCTTGGTGTAGATCAATACACAGTACTGTATAATCTTTTTCTTTTCAATTTTTAAATACTTTCCTCTTATTTTTTGGCCCCTGCCCCATTGCGAGCTGATGACTTGTGCCCGGGTGGGCTATTTCACGTCAAAAAAAAAAATATACATACTGTATATATAGTACAGTATATAGTTTTGACAATGTAACTATTCTTTACTTCATTTCTATTTTACACTTGAATTTTTAATGTTTTCAAGCAGTTATATCTTTAGAGACATTAAATTGAGCATTACAGTGATCCACAACTGGGTATCCTTTATATATGGATTTATTTCTTCAATTTAAAACACTCCCACACATTTTCTTTTATTAACAGTCTTACCCTTGACATTTACGAAGCAAATCTGCCCATGTACCATTTTGTCCCATACTAAATTCTCAATACCGGTACCCATGACCAGTGATACCATTATTATCAATGCAAATTTAAAAAATTATAAGTGAAACTGGTTTTAGTGCTAAGTTTGAGGAAATTGATAAATGCTAATTTTGTTACCTGACAAGTTTAATTACAATCAACAAAGGCAGCAATAACTTAAGAGTTGTAATTTGTTAGTCAGCCTGCACTCTACATACAGTTCTGCTTGCAGTAAAATCAAGTTGTTAGTCACTGCAGACGGCAAGCAGTGCCTAGAATAATACTACAGTTTTGAGAAATGATTTAAGCATATATTTGATGCCAATGAAACTAATCATTATTATGTTTTATCAAACACTCTAAATTAACTGACTGCAAAGAAACAAACATAACAAAGAAGGGTGAAGAAAGGATTTTGTTAATGTGGAGAGGCTCCTGGTTCGTCAACCACAAGAGGTTTTTTATTTAAATTGTTATGCTTTGCAATATATCTCTCTGGACACCTCTCTACCACTCAGTGCAAGTTTAAAATATATTTTTCTGTAGGAAAAGACATAATGAAGCCTACAAGATCAACCGACTAAAATTTTGAAATTTATTTAAAAATAAATAAAAATCATATTTAAAATTCCTATATATTTTTCAGGGCAAATTACCTATTATAACCATTTGTTTATACTGCATACAGTATCAGCCCAAATTTACTTTAGGCTAGAGTTCAGCTCCCTTGATCAAGTTACAATTCTTTGGGGTTCAGGTACAAGAAAAAAGGGGCAAAGTGACTTTTGTACCGACTTCTGCATCCATCACTGTTAAAATACCAACAGTGAATACTACGGTAAAATACATAAAATGTAAACTCTATCTTTCCAAATTTACCTGTATTTGCCTATTGTTATCTCCCAATCTGAAGATCATCAAATGTTTGCAATGACTGACTTGGTCATGATAATGAGTTCTCAAGGGTGGATTGGTGTCACTCAAACTTACAGCTTATTCCAGTTGCATGATTGGCTGTAAATATCAAGACTAATTCAGTATCTTATGATATTTTGACTGAAAATGTACAGTACAATGATGAGAGAAAATTAACCCAAAGAGGGGGGGAATAAATAAGAGTACTACTCGGCACATATTAAAATACGGTTATAGAAGGACAATGAAAAAAATATATATATAGGTGTAAACACTGAGACCAAATTTATTTATGCATATTGGAACATCCAGTACAAGAAAGCCTGTATAAATAATTATATTAAAAGCATCGCTGACCTGTCCAAGCACACTGACCAGCTAGGATATGCATCATGTGGCATGGTTATCAAGAGGTGCCAAGGGCGGGATGGCACCTCCCACACAGAACCTGTCCACTGTCACTAGGACAATGGGTGTTGGGTCCTACCTGTTGTGGGCCACCACCTACCTGGCACAGGTAGTGGTGTTGTGTGGTGCCCCGCCCTGACTAGCTCGTGGGAATGTGCAGTGGTACGGTAGGGAGGACAGGCCAGCCGTGCCAGGCCACCCACCATGCAGCCTCTCCCAACCCTTAATGCTGGCTCTTTGCCTATCATAAAACATTGGGAGTAAGGTCTGCTGGGTAACCGCCGGCGCGGCAGAGTGAGCACGGTAAAACCTGGCGGCCGCCTGCTAACATGGCAACACAACACCAACACGTGGATACATGGGGCATGCCGCAGGCACCGCCCTCCCAGCTCCTGGCCACGTGACCTGCCACGGCCACCAGGATCACACATGCCGCTCTATCAACCACCTCAGCCTGTGGACTGCGGCTGACTACCAGAAAATACAGGGCTGAGAAGACGGCGGACACGACAGCTCACCTTATTGCTCCTGGCTTCATTGCTACATTGGAAGTGTGAAGGCAATGGCAAGCAGTACATGTCAGAAAGTTAAAGGATTTATTTTAATGGAAAGATTTAAGCAAGGAAAAGGAAAGAACCCACTTGGCTATAGCAGGAATGGGATTGGCAGGCAGTCCTGGCAGCAGTTGCGGCGTGTCATGTCACATGGAGGTGGAGGCCCCGGATGTCGTGGTGGAGACTGAGGCTTGCATATGGGCAGGGACCGGGGCCACTGAACACACAAGAGAGGCACGGGGGGAGCACCTGACATGGCTGCAGCAGCTGCGGCTGCTACTTGAGGGAGGGATATTGTAATATGCCATGGTGGGTTCCAGAAGAGTTGTCCAAGGTGAAAATGTATTTGAAAGCAGTTAGAAAGGAAATGATAAAAGAATCTTGTGGAATGGTGGGAAAATAAAATGGTAAGGGCGGTGGGAGTGTGGCACCTCCTGAGGGTGAGGACCCACAGCCAAGCACTGCAGTCACAGCAATCTGTCAAGCAGGCTTGGCATGAGACCCTCAGGACTAGACAAGCTCACTGGACAAGGAGGCTGCAACACACCCCCCGCCCCAGCATATGGGGATGTGGGTAGGAAAGACTACTTGTTACCCAACAAGTTCTGCCTGCCACCTCACACATCATATGAACGTCAGAAGTTAAGTGCGGTAACCCTGAGCAGGCAACAAACCATCCCTTCACAATAGCAAGTACATTTTTATAACTTTTTGTAGACTTTAATATCTGTAAATCACCTTAGCTTAGTCACGTATTAGATGCCACCACTACACAGCATAGAGAGACACTATTAAGCTCTTTTACATATAAAGTGAAAGCCTCGACGTTCGGACCACCGGTGCTACCCTGGACCACATCCTGGCCGTAATCAACTTACACCTACTACTTCAACAAAACCTCACAAGGATACTAAGATAATTCCCTGTTGTAAAAGAGCTTAGACCAGACTTGAACACATTCTACATGTATGAGCAATTCGCCAATAATATACCAGTGATTCAATCTCATATTACTTGAGGAAAAAATACTGGCAGCAACAACCATACAGGGCATAGCATTAGTCAATATTACGCTAAGTCCTGCACCAACGACCGTTGCCTTGCACATCTAAAAATATATGTATAAAACGTACATCACTCATCTAATACAAAATTCTGACTCGTTACCGGTGCTGATGTGATAATACCATTTAAGTTACATGGAAAGACTTGCCTGTCTAGCCTCAGGTGGAGCTATGGCAGGTTGCCACCAATCACCCCAGAAGCCCCCAACTATGACCACACTCTACAAGGGTTGCAGTTGGGGGCCCGCCATCACCACCCCTAACCACTCCCTGAGGAGGAGGAGGGTTGGAGCAATTCTGGGTAGGAGGTGGGGGGCACAATGGCAGCGGGATGCCACAACAGCAGCATCAAACTGCGGCTGCGGGGTGATGCTAATACACACAACAAATGCTTTGGTTCACCGCCGCGCACACATTACTCAAGAGAACGTGCACGGAGTGTGCGATATGTCTTGATGGTAGTATCAATAAGATACAACTATTATGCCCTCATCAGTATACATGTCCCTAATCAAAATGTCCAAAACGAGAACCATGAGAACGCAACCATCACTTCAGTCATTACATCTAGGTGATTAAGAGCAACACTGGAATCGGTGACAAAGGAACACAGCCTAGATTGTTTTGTGTATTTTCCTACAAGAAGACATGACCAGATAGGCTAAACTTAAGAAAACTTACATTCAAGCTATAATTATATAAGAGAAATATTATTTACTATTGATCATATCCAGTTATTACTAGTTTAATTTGGCACCAAAACCAAGAAGTCATAAACCTATCAGTTGCTACAAATGGCACCCATTACTTCCTTCAAGGTATCTTTGGAATCTCATGTTTGAAATGCATTTCAGTGTTGACAAAGCTGCAACAATTGTCTTTGAGGTGCAGTATAGAGCAGTGGGTGGTGATGGTGGTGGTGGTGTTGGGGGTTACTGAAGGATGGCTCTGTCTAGTCATGGTCAGGACCTTACAGGCCCATCCTTCAGGGCTCCTTCAGTTCTTATAGTGACCCAACTATTAGTTGCCTCATTTTAAAAAGTGGGTTATGCAGCTGCAGGAAGCAACATTATACTTCCAACCCTCCAGGAGAGCTAGGATAAGGATTGTGACAATATTGTGACATTGCTGCAATTATAAAATTGATTACAGATTACTCTACTAAATAAAAGCACATAATGAAGCCTGGTGAGAGGCAGAGTAGAGTCAGTGTTAAGTGTTGAATGAAAAGAACAATATTTGGAGGGGGTGAAGGGATACTTGGCCCTCCCACTCTCTCCAAACCCCCATCACCAGCACAGGACACATTTCACCCACCTGTCACTCTCCAACATGATGGTAACAAAACTGAGACCAACTACTACTCAGCTTTATTGTTATTTTGACGAGGAGAGTATTGAGTAGTTGACTGCAGGTTAAGTCACTCTTTGACTGCATGTGTCAAGTTCGTTTAAGCTACAGTTATTACCACTTCATGGAATCAACTGTGTATATTTTAATCTATATAGCAATATTAAAAGAATATCTTGACTTGTACATAGTCAGGTACAAAAATCATAATACAAGTTTTATCACCCAAAAGCCTTAACTGGAACTCCAAGGATCTTTGGAATCAGGACACTTTTACAACAGGAATTACTTAGCACATTTAGGTGTGGGATGGCTGACACCACAGAGGCACCACAGAGTTCCTGCTGGCAGCAACCTCACACACAGTGGTAGCAACAATGAGTTTTGGAGAAAGAGCAGCAACAACAACTGCTAGATGGATAGCAGTAGCAGCAGTGGTAGTGAAGCCAGAAGTACTCCTCAGGCCTTTAGCCAACTCAATCTCTCCAAATAGCAGCTGATGCAAACATAACACTGCCCTTCTTACTGCCACCTGGTCGACTGCTCCCTGAGACCGGCCATGTGCCTCCCATCACTGTCTGCTTCCTGCTTACCATACCACAGCCTTCCTTTGCACAAACTTATAATACAGTATGTATCTCCTTGGTGCATTATACACACTAATCATTAAATAGGAAGTCCGTGTTGTCCCTCAGCTAGCACTTTCCATTAACACACTGAGGCGAGGCATAGTTAAATCATTCCTATGAGGCTTTGCTTTTGGTGTTGCTACTCTTTCTCAAACTGCTATTTTCAAATCCTACACTATCCACTGCTTAGGGAAGTTGTGCACACTGTGAGATCCCCATATAGAGGGCACACAAGCACAGGTTGGTGTGGAGGTGGTGGTGGTGTCATTGCAGGCCACCATAAATCAAACACAAGGCACATATACGTTGCACTTGCTGAGGGTGGTGAAGCCCTTGTGTCTGACCAGAGAGGGGAGTATCACACTTGGATTCATCTCACAACCATAACAACCTTAGGCACCTCACACCATACACTCTACCTGGCATACATTTTCCTTTTTATATTTTTTTTTATTTACTTTTACTAAATGCTTTCTTTTTATTCTTGTTTTTTTTTTGTATAGATGCCAAGTAGGACTACTGACTATTTTCTAGGGGAGGAAGTTGTGTGAGGCCCCTAAGCAAGGAAGATGTGTTGGGCCTGGGACCTGACCAGGGATGTGCTTCTTTCACCAGTATCTGGCACGAGTTTAACACTAATTCTGAGTGTTATTGGGGTAGTAGTGCTGGGAAAAAAAAAAGGAGGGGGGAGGGGGGAGGGGGGAGGAGGGCATAATGCAGACTTGAGATCCTAGAGATGGGTAGTAGTGGCGAGTATGAACTGAGTCCCTGGATAGGTCACAGGCCCTGTAGCACTCCTGACACGGCACCTTCCATGCCCTGGTGATGCTGCCCACCCATACTATCAAAGCATCACCACAACCACACTGTCATATTACTACACTTCAATACACATTACCATACACTAAGTGCTAGTATATATATTTATATTTATATATATATTTTATAATTATATTTATATATTACCACTCATCCACACCATAAATTGAGTACATTAACAGTCTTTTTTAGTCATTAGTACTATATTTAACCCATAAAACAAGAAAATCACCAGTCATTAGTCAAGAAACATAGTAAAACATCACAGGCAAAACTAAAATTATTGTAGTCACCCCAGTCATACTAACACAGCCACCTACACTCAGAGTGTCTTTACGCTGATAGGTGCGGAAGTGTGACGTGCACAGTGTGGGCGGGTGGGCGACGGTGTGGGGGCAGCAGGTAGGACGGGCAAGCGCAGGAGCTAGGATGCCAGTGGCCAACTACTGAGGCTTTGGTCCTCCATCAACAGTCCACGGATCACACGTAGCACCAAACACAGCTTGTGCACATATAATCAACCACACAAGCCTTGCTTCCCTGCACCCAGCAGTTACTTTGTCACAGGTTCTTTTGTATACCAATAAAACAATCATGAAGACCAGTTATCACATGAGATGTGAAACAAGGCTTGTGTGGAGTTCTTGATACTGAAGACGCAGGCTAGGACGGTAGTTATAAGTTAGTAGTTGATCAGCATTACGTCAGACAACGTCACAACTACACTTCTTTTCTCAAGAGGAATGAATAAGGCATTGCGCTTCTTCTCTAGTCACCCTAAAGCATGAATAAACCATGCATCACTAACTGTCACCCTAAAGCATGAATGTAAGTCATGCAATCACTTTAACGGTCATCCATGTGCACGAATATATCATCATGCATCACATACGATTGTCCACAAGACATCCTTGAGTTTTATATGTGCATCAATTTTATGCATCAAATTATTTTTATGATCTTTGTATTTTGATAAAATATTGCACTAATAATGAGAATAAATGCAGGAGACGGAGTTTCCAACTACAAAGATCCTTACACCTATCATTCGTCGAATGCAATGAATGAGTTTGGCCCTAAAGGCAGACTGGGAAACTCTAGATGGGAGTCCTGCATAGTTTGAGAGAAATGCACTGCAACACGTGGACCACCAAGAGATGAGCGGCACGTTGCTCTTTAGAACCAAGCAGTACGTTTTCTGGTCCTCAAGTGACAACTGCTACTCAAAACACAGTTGAACATTATTGCCCTAGAACCCAGCTGTGGTCTATTACCTTCAACTGAGAAGCACACTCCTCATTAAGCAAACGAGCAGATTGTTCCTTCAGCTAAGAAGTAAACTGTTTCCTCATTAAACAAGCTGATCTTCCCTTCAGCAGAGGAATAGATCATCTTTCAGCAAATGAGTACTACTTTGTCATAAATTGGACAACCTGTTTCAAAACCTCAGGAGCATTATATACTTTTGTAACAGACATTAATATTATTATTATTTTATCTATTATTTTTGCTGAAATACAAATTGCTTCTTTAACTGAAGAAACAGTAAACTAACCTAAGGAACCAGCTATTCCACAACCCAAGAAATAGAATTTAACCCATAAAGCAGACTGCTACTAATATAGGGAGTCCAGTGTTCCTTAAGGAGTTACTGATCCCCAAGATGAGTATCAGACTGCTAAGCAGTGCACAACAACAGACTGGTCACTAGTGAGAGCAGCAAGCTGTTCACCAGTGCTGAGCAGATTATCCGTCCCCTGCGTCACAAAGGTTCCTGAGAAAATGCCATAAGCTGACCTCATCACCCTAAAAATACTATGCAACCTAATCTTAAACAAACTAAACAATTTCCTATCAAATAAAACCTACCATTAACAATTAGTTCCTCTTTAAAGGCAGAATAACAATCACCCTAGCAAAAATCACAACTGCGAAGAGAAGTGTAGCAGCCAGCTACAACTTAGCAAATGCGAGATGACTATTAACCTCAGGTAAACCTTGGGACACAGAATACATAACCCTAGATCTAAAATGAAACACCCCAGAGATCCCTCTCAGCAAGAGAGCGTGAAGTGGTGGCATCTAACGCTTGTACAACTTGCAGCACAATTTGAATACATAGTGCTGTCTATGTAAATCATTTATAATAACCACAAAAATTAAAAGTTTGGTTCTTGTACATAGTTAACACAGGGAGAGAAGGCGAGTATCTTAACTGGCTAAATAATCTTGGAAGAATTACTCTTAGGGCAGCTGAGTTTCAGAGGAGCACATGCTCACCTTTAATTTGGGCATCCATTTACTACAGCTGCACTAACACCATTATTGAGATTGCTGCACATTGACACTGGACCTTATCAGTCAACAAGTTTTACAGGTCAGGTCCAAGCTGATCTAGCTTTATTAGGGCTAGAGGCACACAGGTCATGCACCAGAGAGGGTAAGACCATATACCTTCAGGTGGTCTTGTGCAAAGTCCTGACATTTACACTAAACAATGCCGGTGTTGAATCGACACTGCCCGGTTCACACGGTGCTCCTCTGAGAATAAAACCACCCAGGCATCAGGCCAAGCTAACAAGCAAAAATCATGGAGCAAGCATCACCACTGCTAGTCAATTCAACCAGACAGTAGTAGTAGAAACATGTCTACTGCTAGTAAGGGACTAATGCTAACCAAGGTGGAGACAATTGACAAGTACCAGTAATGCTGTACCTGGCCTGGTACCTGACCTTGACAGTTTACACAGTTTCCTAATACTATAATAATAACCCAACCCCTACTACACATACCACTAAAAACTATTAAACATTTGGGAGGTCACACAATCCGTGACCACCCAAAATGCAAGGAATCATCAAAGCTGATTCTCAGAACAGCTGGAAGTCTGACAGCTATTTATCATGCTGTTATATGTGGCGTTAGTCTCAATTATGATGATTCACTGCCTTGCTTAGTCTAGATTTTTGGCAGACTGGCTTGATTATTCATTGTATTTAGATCATTAATCTGAAAGCTATAATATTGATATGGCTCCAAAGTATCACTACAGCTAGAGGTCAAGATAATATCCAGACATATAAGAGCTCTGTCACTTACAATATATCATCCTTGAAAAAAAAAAACGAAAAACAAATTATGGTGGCACTTTGTTTATACTCCTTTTCAAAACTGTACAAAATACTGAATACGGAAAAATACTACACCATGACTTGAGTTCAAAAAACAAATTACAACAATCATCATTTTTTTGTGCTTTTTTTTTTTTTCGTTTTGTGGGGATAAAAATAGTAAGTAAAGCTGAGCGACAAAGAGAATTAATAGTAACATTATGAAAGAGTGGACTGGACCTATCACTAAATCTCACATTTAGCATGATTTGTTGCAGCACCATTGTTTGTCAACCTGACACTTGGTATATGCTGCTGACTTACTCGTGGCCACGAATCCTACAACATCAGCCCAAACCAGCTTAATTATGAGTATGCCTAAGTATTACATTTCACTAATTTGATTGGTTGTCTATTACTCCGAGAGAACACTGATTGGCTGGATGTTACTAAGTTGATCTCGATAGATATTGTAGGATTCGTACAATAATGCAGCCTCGGCTGGCAGCCACGCTCACCATCACTCACAACTATGAACCATAAAGAGGTGGTGTTTAGATGACTAAGCAGATCCACGCTGGGTCTCTCTTAGTGTTCTGTGCTGTATGAGGCGATGAATTTGGCTGCCAATCTTAAGACTGCTGGAGCAAGAACCTGGGATCTAATACCCAACCATAACCTTTGGACCACTGGTGACTATCATATCACAACGTCAAACTTGCCAGAAGTTACAAGTACACACAATGTACAGTATGCTTTCCATTGTCACCCATAGAATAGATGATGGCAGTCGTACACACCAACAGTGACAATGTGGTATTGTTCTCTGACAAGCAGCAGTAGCAGGGGAGGTGCACCCTGGGGAGGGGGAGACCAACGAACCAAAGGTTGTATGGGTTCATCATAATTGGGTGATAATGATCATGATAATATAATAATGGTAATGGATATGAGTACGACTGAGGGTAGCAAAATTGAGGGCTTGCATGACAACGTTATGGCAGAGGCCACAACATTCTTTTTGCCAGATGATAATGCAGCAGATCTGTGGGCTTTGCTTGCTGACTTAGCTGAAACCACAACACACTGTCTGCCATATAGGCTGGAGGCCTCAACTACAACATCACAGTAGACTTAAGAGGCCTGCATTATGATGACACAGTAAAGATATAATAATACCACTTCTGAGTGCTAACAAAATAGCAGACTTTAATCTGGATGATGTCAACACCATATAGCCATTAAACTGGCTAATATGATGACAACTGAACAGACTTGGATGGCTAGCTTAATGATGACACAACAGACCTACGAGAGGTCCAGATGACAAATGCACAGCAGAGCCCATTATGAGGCCTTCATGAAGACGACACAGCAGAACTACTGGACGATCCGAGGAATGGTGCCTGGCTCCTCACTGCACCCCGTACCTACCTAATCACTAGACTGAGGAATATCTGCTGAGTCTTGGAGAGCTCCATTGTACATATGAGCAGATCTTGTGTGGAGGATGTAAATCTTACAAGCACTAGAGTCTGTGGTGGAACTTGAGATACATAAGTAAGCACATTTAAAGTATATATAATTATCCATTTAGGAAATATCACACAGAGGAGTGCTATCACTGAACAATTCTGCAACTTTAACTATAAACTTAATTATATTTTAACCTAGAACTTACAATTAATCTCTCTTAAAACTAAATATAACTTAATTGTTTATCTTTTGGTACATGTACATCAAAAACACTGCAAAACTGTGTGTAGGTATATTCTTTTGTTATCATATAATAAGACTTGATTCATGGTAAGAACAGACTTAGATAATATTGGCATTTAAAAGTAGGACCAGTTATGCAACTGAAGCAAATGATAAGCGCAGGCAGTTCATCTCTTGCTTCAGTCAAGCTTGCACCTTTGTTTCTCCTAAAATAATGGTCAACATCAGCATGTCAATACAAGTAACTTTGTATTTAAGTCACAGCACATGAACTATTTTAGCTCCATGGTCTTAACCTTAACCATAAAGAGCATTGAAATGATTGATTATTCTTGTGTGTGCTTGGAGCTAAGTCTTTTAAGGCATTGTGTCTTAATAAAATTGGGATTGATATACACATGTATGGACCAGCATAATTATTATAAGGTGTATGAGTAAGACTGTGAGCTTACCCTGTGTAGAGGCAGGGCTCTAGCATGTGGTTATGGTACTACACTACCACTGGTTGCTGCACTCAGGGTGTTGCTGTGACGGTGCCTACTGGGTGACGGCATTTGCCTCCCACCCCCCCTATTATATGGACTCGGAGGTGAGGAGGCCGTCCGGCAGGTAGGGCTTGAGTGAGGAAGGTGTGGCACGATGCTGATCCCCGTCACCCAGGGTGGCCCCACCCCACAGTGACGACCCAACAGTAGGGCCGCTGCTGCTCCACAGATTGGAACCATTGCCATTACCCCAAGAGTCTATTTTGGAGCCCGAAGAGGACTGGGAAGTTGGGGTAGAACCCCGTCCAGAGCCTCCCCAGCTCGAGGCATTAGATGGGGCAGGAGTAGGTGGGGCACCTTGACCCTGGTGGGTTTGCTGGCCCATAACCTGTTTAACTTCACTATCATTAGCGAACTCAGCCAGGATTGTAGTGTTGCTCAACAGGCAATTATTGAGATTTCCTTGTGCCTAGAAAAAAGAAAGAAAAAATTAAAGAACAAATAAAATACATACAAGAACACATATACAGTACAGACGGCCCCCCCAAATTCGCAGTCCTCTATTATTAGTGGATGACACTCTGGATGTACCCAAGAATGTCTGTGGATAATTTTAAAGTTGTCGGCATTTTTGCGGCTGGGAAAGGGAGCCATTCGTTCTAGAGACAGACCTGTATTGTAAATATGTGTGTGTGTGTAGACACACACACACACACACACACAAAACACATACAAATAAATAATAATGGGAAAATACTCTGACAAATAATCAGAATCTTTTTATTAAAAATGTGTCTATCCTCAAGTCTGTGCTTTAAATACTTATTAAAGCACGGATTTGAGGGTAGACTGTCACATTTAAATTTTTTTTTCTGATTAATTGAGAGTATTTTCCCATTATTATTTATTTGTATGTGTTTTGTGTGTGTCTACACACATACATGCATATATACAATACAGGTAAAAGAAATAATTGTCCTAAGGGCAAACACATAAATGGAATATACATTTATTTGTACAAAAGTAAAAAATTCTCCCCTTGTCACTGCATCACAAAATAAGATTTACAGTATTGATCTATCATTTGTATCCATTTATGGCCCTTGGTAAAATTGAGCAAATTTAACTGATTGACCCCTCCCCTGATTAGTCCATTTGAAAAAGGTTTTACTAAACTAAGCTCCATTTAAAAAACCTTTCAAAGTAAGAAGAAAAATTTGAAACAAACAGCTATAACACTGATAATAAAGTACTGTACAGTAGAATGTCGATATAACACGAGATACGTTCCAAGAGAGGTCGCTTTAAACGGAATTTGCACTAAATCCAAGTGTTGTTTCAATGGAATAATTTAGTTTGGTACTTGAGAGAAACACAAAATACTAAAAAGACTGACAGTCTACCCAGATGCACCTCAGCCCATCTCCTAGAATAAACAAAACATTGTTTTTTGTAGTATTATGTTAAAATAAACCTTCATAAATCAACACAGCTAAAATTAAGGGACGTGAAATGGTCTGTTTACTAGCAATCAGCTGAGGGAGGGGGTGATATGTTTGACAATTGATGCCAAGGTCTAGTGCTTATTTATTAATCTGTCCTTCAAGAGTGACTTTAAAGTTTTTTCTCTTATAAAATGTCACTGAACTGACATGGGAGAACACAATTAATATTGCTGGAATTCTTATAAGATAGTGATAAGTTTGAATATAAACATGTTATAGTTCGCATTAGACATACAAATTTTAGTTCTAATAAAATTTATTACAAATGGCTAAATTTTTTATCTCCTGCGCAATATATATAAAGTTTATATTCAAATTATTCAGTCTTGCAAGGATTCTAGCAATGCATATTATATTCTCCTAACTTTAGTCTGTGATATTACTATATAAGATGAAAACGGTCAGCCTGTAACCCTCCAACCCTGGCTGGGAAGATGGGGGGTGACATGTTTGACAGTGAGGGCCAAAGGTCTAGTGAAGTTTTTATTTATTTGTTTATTTATTTATTTATTTCTGTCCTTTAGATTGAGTTTTTGTTTTTTGTTTATAAAATGTCACAGAAGTGACTGGGGAGAATATAATTTACATTGCTGGAATTCTTATAAGGTCGTGATTAATTTGAATATAAACATGCTATAGTTTGCACTTGACAAGAATTTTAGTCATCATTTAGTACAGTACAGCTTTGCCCTTAGGACAGTGTAGCGTGCCCAGAGAAACATTAGGCACGAATTTTAAAATATGATGCGCCAGGTTGACTCGCTCAAAATAGGAAAGATTCACTTTAAATTAAAATATTGTCCTTAATTGTAGGTGTCACTTTAAGTCAATAATCTTAAATTGAATTACTTTAAATCGACGTTCTACTGTACAGGTTATCCTTGGTTTAACGGCGGGGTTGTGTTCCTGAAAATCCTAACATTAAGCCAAATTATTGCTGAAGGAGCGACAAGAGCAACACATGGAGGGCGTACGACAGGTTGAAACAGGAGGGTGGGAAGTACTCAGTTCAGTTCACCACTCCCTAATAATAAACAAGTTTTTATAAATGGCTTCAACGTTAAACAATTGATTTATTAACACCAAACTTGTATATAAATGATGTGGTTCAGAGTTAACAAATTATTGTGCACAAGGTGAGCTTATTTGGGACAACTTGGAAAGAGAAGAAAAAAAGACCATGATAAACAATAAAATGTATACATAGCACACCATAAAATATTTTATGTACAAAAAATAGCTCCTTCCACACTTGAACGATCCTCCGGGTAACATGACACAATTCAGCCATCTGACTTAGATGTGTGGCTGTGCTGTGTGTGCCGTTATACAGTATAACAATGGGGGAGGGAGTCGGAGAGCATGGCCGGACCTCCAACACAGTTACAGGCCATTGCCTCCACTAATACCCTCAATTCATACCTATGCACTTAATTTTTCTTATTTTATAGTTTTAAACATTTTTTATTTATAAGCTACACACTATTGTAATGATTTACCCACAACTCTTATAGTTTCATTATATACAATAATTGCAACACCTTACCCCCAGTTTTTCTCCTTCACAGTGAGTCAAGCTCCGACTCGACTGAAATTTGGCCTCACGTTAAATGAGAAAGGGCGTCACATAATTTTTCTTTCACCAAGTGAATTAACACTAAATGAGGGATACCTGGATAAAGTAACGCCACTTCAGAGTAGGATTTCCCCTGTGCTCTTAAGCAATACTGTACAGAAAAACCCACAGAAGCAGCATTGTGAGAACTTGGACTAAACAATCAAGTAGAATGAGACATTTTAATAAAGGAATTCCAGAGTATTTTACAATAAAACAAAATAAATAAATCAATTTAAAAATCAAAACCAAAATCTAGGAAATAAAATGACACGGGTAAATAAGAAATATACATTCAACTAGCCGACAGTTTTTGTGTCCGAGTCATAGAAAAGCAAATTTTTCTCGTGTAAACACATAGCAGGAAAAAGTACTTGCATGCGTTAAAGAGCTATTATGTAGCAAATAAGCATTTGATGACTAACAATGTTAGTTTTGATGTTTGTATCTGTTCACCAAGTATAGGCTGCTTCAAGGTATTATTCAATTTTATATTATTGGTATACTATTAACATTTATGAAGGGGACATTTGTCCGAGCAAAGCCGTAACACAAGACACGGTACCTTAGCAGCCTCCTCTCGTGAGCCGTAGTTGACGAGTGCAAAGCCGTGGTTGAGAGATAGGTAGAAGTTGACCAGCGGCCCGTGCTGCATGCACAGTGTCTTCAGGGTAGAACCATCAATCTGACAAAAGATTGAGAAAACCTTAACCAAGAGATTTAAACACTAATATGAATACATAATTCTCACATCTCTTGTATACTTACTCTCACAATTTCATATTGAAATGTTTTCAAACCTCACAGCAACCAAAGCTATGAAATTTTAATTTCCATTGCCTCATTTCCAAAATTTTGTGACAGGTATAGCAATTTTACCGTTTAACCTTAAATCAGCTGAGCATCAGTGTGTGTTGTCAGTGTATTTGGTGTAAGTCCTGCTGGCAAAAAACAACAACTCCAGTGTAACTGAGGAGGAATTAAATAGTATGTTGAGAACACCTTTCCCTGTTATACAGTACAGTAGTGTGTTGATTAAAGGGTGAAAATTATCAAACTGAAGTGAAGGATATAGGGAAGACAAACACATTTACATGGAAGGATAAGTGTAGGAGACGGTGGCCACAAACCTGGATATGGACAGTGACATGAGGCCTGTGAAACCAATCTGTATAGCCAGTATGTGAGGTGTTTTTTACAGTCAACAGAATGGCAAGTGATAAGAGAATGAATGTGACAAGGTTTGCACGAGAAGACATTTCAAGAAAAGTGTTTTGACGAGCAAGGCGGTGGTATTTGACGGCAAGTAATGATATATACGTATTTCTTAAAAGAAAACAAATGGCAGGTGAAAGAAGGATGAGAACAATGACTAAGAGGAGGACATTTAGATAGCTTTAAATTCTTGAGTAAGTTGTGGGGGGTAAGAAGCAACTAAAGGATAGTATAATTCTCTCTACCTTAACATATGGTAAATATAAATGGATATGGAGTGGGAGGAAAAAAAAAATTAAGCCACAAAAATGAGATATTGAAAGGTTGCATCCTGGGCTAACATAATGGTAGGGGCGACATACAGTATGTGTACGACAGGTTCATATTGATTGAGCAAGGAAACTGGCATAGAAAGTAGGCATAGTGAGGTGCTCCGAGATAATACTGATATGAGAGGGTGCTAGAGAACACCCCTGGATTGTTGGACAGAGAAAAGATGATGATGATGATAATTTTAATGTGTTTGTTTCTGAAATGCAAGTTTATTTCAAAGTGAGATTCATTTTCTAGGACTCGACATATAAAAGAATCCAGGTATTTCAAGATAAGTATTAAATTATATACCAAGGTGTCTATTGACCACACAAAACAAATTCCCAGATTTTCCCCAGGTTTTCCAAGTGTAAATTGGAAAATTCCAGGTACATTAATTTGGTATTTATTACAACAGTAGCAAAATTCGAGCTTTTCAATAATATGAATATACTACTGGGAAACTCAAAGATGATTGCCACTATGATCATCAGGACTAGTGATGAACATCAGAAAAGACCTGATCCACCTATAATGACTCATGATTAATAGTGGGATAATCCAATTAAATAAAGTCACTTAATAAGAACAATTCATCTTTAACAATATTCAGTGCAGAATTAATAGGTATAACCTGTAATATATTTGGTTATCACTAACAACAAATATGACAGGTACACTTCAGTTGTTGGAGTGGACTATTTACTGGAATTTGTTCCTAAAGTTTCATTATTTATCTACTATATAGTACAGTACATCATTAATTTATGATAGAATTGCTGTCAAAACAATATTTTGAAGTTGAACTGAATTCACATAAAATTCCTGGTTTAATTGTAAAATTCCCTGCCCTTTCCAGTCCAGTAGACACCGTGTATACAGTAATACAGGGTGGTGTGGGTACAAGAGACATGCAGTACTTATAGGTAGCTGGGTACTGTACTGGTTTGATTACCTCAGGAAATTGTGACCTTGCCTTGCCAGTTGTTCCCACATTGTGGGTTGGCGCTAGGAATGGCATCCACCAGAAAAACTTTGTCTCAACATGCCTCCTAGCAAATATGTCACCAGAACTATGCCCTACTTTCTGCTGCCTTGTCACGGTTGGCACCCTGGATTTGCAGTAGTGAGAGGGGAGGGGGGGGGGGGAAGAGGGACACCCCTTTCCAGTTTTACCCAACAGGAGCCTTCAGGTTATTGCAATTAACATGGAAAATGGCTGTAAAACCTTTATGTTGATGATGATGAAGAGACTTCAATACTACAAACTTGCCTCTACACCTGAGTTTTGTGTAGCACATGTTAAACATACTGTTTATATTGTAGTAAGTTCTACCCTTTCTTTACTGCCTCTTTGTTAGTTCGTTTCATTCTTATTGATGATGCTACATGTTGTCGGGAATGAGATGAAAATCCCAGGAACAGTTATATTAGGTATAATTTTGGAGTTACTCAGAAATGACAATTTTGGAATCTCCAGTAAAGCAGGAATTTATTGCTTATCTGGCCTGCTCCTGCATCTCAGGAAGGAAGTTTAACCAGGGCACCTGTGTTTTTTGTCAGCCTGCAACTATTCAGAAGAATTGAAGAAAACTTTCTGTCATTGGTAATGGCAGCAATCCTGGTTTCATCAGCCGCAATACCTGCTTTTGTTATCACGTAGACCAGCCGAGTGTGTATCTCATTTTATTTTGTAGGATGTAATTTTCATGTGAGACATACTGATCCTTCCCTAACTCAGTCGGAGCTTCCTTCCAGATGGCAGCAAATGTTTAATACGTATTTCCCCCAATGACCCGATCTGGTCCTCTAACGTCTTCAGCTGCTCAAAACAGCCCTACATCTCTCAAGGATATAACCCCTGTAAGGTGATGTGCTAGCTCACCATCATAGTGGTTAAGGAACCAGCAGAAATAAAGTTTCCACTGGGGCATGAAATCCTCCTTAACCTGGAACAAGAGATATAATACCAGCCACTACTTTAAGAACATTTGGGGGACTTGCCTCCCTACATCCTGGACAAGGTTATCCTTTATATCTTTACACACTTCCCCCAAAGTATATAACAGCAAAAAAGTATAAAACCCGATAAACTTATTAGAAGGGAAGAAAGAGTACCAGAAGGGGTGGCTTGTACTGTACATCTCAAAGATGTAGACTGCCCTGGTGAAGTGCAACTACTATACATGAAGATACAGTAGTCTTGTTTACCCTAAAAGAGCCAATTATGACCCTTTCCTAATTTAAATAATAATGGGTGCTCCATGCAAATTATTAACCCTCTGAATAACGTTCATCACTAGATGGTATGGTAGAAAAATGTACAGTACTGATAGGGTGGTCTGATGGCTCTATTGTACAGGTCAAAGGGGTGTGACACATTAAGTAAGACAATAGAATGTCCACAACTCTTGATCACCACTTTAGTGCTTTATAAAATCTATTATTAATGTTGACTATCACAAGTAGGTAACTTGTATGACTCCTTCTAGTGTTATTGTATATGGTTTAGGGTATAGTTGTAGATCATAAAGAAAGTGGAAGAATTAACTTTATCTCTAATGATTTACCATTGCTCACCATACACGAGATGAAGGAAAATGCCAAATAACTGACATCTGTATTCCTCAACTTTTCTGAGGGTAACAAGAGCCTTAATTCTAACACTATCTGGGTTTGGAATTTTAATTCGAAAACAAATTTCTTATAACACTTGAGCCATTAACCATAAATGTACTTCACAAATAACCAAAAATAAAGTACTGTATATGAAAATTTCACTCGATAAAATTTGATAAACAAGCGACACTCGCTCTAATTCATGTGTGTGTTGTTGATTGTGGCCATCCAGCACTACAGTATAGGGCAGTACATAAACCCTTCAAAGTGAGTGAACCAGCTTCACTCCTTCACTTTAAGAGGAGAGCAGTACTAAGAAACTACCAGTTGTGGTATACATGCACCATGGTTTTGCTTTGCAGTACAGAAGAAATTTAATCAAATTTCATGAAAATAAAAACCAAAATGTTCTGGAATTTTTAAGTTAATAACAAGAGATGACTTCCATATTCTGCTCTTTGCAGTCATTCCAAAATTCAAGTTTTAACAAGTGAAAACTCACACTAAATAAGTAAGACACAATTTGGTTTTTACCAACAAGACAAAGATGTAGTCACTGATGCTAGGGTATGTGGTGGGGTGATAGGTGATGGTGTTCATATAATCACTATCCAAAGTACTGTAGTAGGAACACATGTTTTTTTTTGGGAGACTTTGTATCCTCCAACAATACTGTACTCAGATTATTCTGCACCTCCCACTCATGTGTGGTGTCACATACACTATGTACTGTGATACACCTTAAAAGAAACTAACTTTACATATAAACCTTAGTTCCATGGAGATCTTATACTGGACTAAATTTCAGGTGATTTGACATAACTTAATTTTTAACATTAAATTGTAAAACAAGGAATCAAATCATCTTAGGTATTGATATTAGTAGTACTTAGCTCATTAATGATTTTTCTAAATAATTTTTATAGCCCTTTCTCGCATTAAACAAGAAACACAAGAGGCTTATCAAAGGTAATCTGACCTTGAGTATATAACTTTAGTACTGTACTTATAAACTAAACAAATGTAGTGTTAGAAGGATATGAAGGGAAAAGCAAGACAACACCTGAGTGGCTCTTAAGTCTGGCCACTATTCACTGTAGCAAGACAGTGAGAGGACTAGATATATGTTTACTGATACAGGTCACCTCCCTCAATGAGTCAGCAAAACTCTGACAATATACATAATCTTTTTTTTTTTTTTTTCATTTGATTATTTTCATAAGAAATTTCATCAACTATCTAGTTATTCAACAATTATGATGTGGGTAAGTTCTTGACCTCTGACCTTCAATGTTTGAAATCTTCTGTTTAAACTGAAATGTCTCAACTAAAGTTATCCTCTAGCCTAGATCCATAGTTAACAACCTTTTAACAGATGGATGTCTGAATCATCACTGAGTAGTTACGGCTGTGCTGAAGCCCAAGTTATAACTGATGATCAGTAGAGGTACAGTATTGTGAAGTAGTGACACCAATACAATACTGTAATAATTAAGGTTATCAAGTGGAACTCTGATATTTACATGAGTTTGTCAATGA